AATTTTGTTCATGTCTACATCGATGACTGTCTAATTGCGAGTCCAGATAAGGAAACACACCTTAAACATTTGGACCTCGCATTCGAAAGACTCAAAAAACATGGCATCACAGTTAACTTACAGAAGTGTGAAATAGGAGTTGAATCACTCAGCTTCCTTGGGCATACCATTGACAACAAAGGTATACGCCCATTGAGAGATAAAGTGGCGGCTATCACAAACTATCCAGAGCCGACCACTGTGAAACATCTCCGCACTTTCAATGGCCTGGTAAGTTATTACCGAAGGTTTATCCCTAACTGTGCCTCTGTCATGAGACCACTCACAGATCTACTTCGAGGAACTGCGAAGTTCGTGTCTCTGGACAACGCGGCTAGACTTGCTTTCTCCAAAGTCAAGGAAGCCATTTCGAACGCAACCATGCTTATGCATCATGACCCCAATGCTCCTCTGAGTATTGCTGTTGATGCATCTGATTCAGCAATTGGAGCAGTTTTGCAACAGTTGACTGACAACCAGTGGCAACCGTTAGCCTTTTTCTCGAGGCGGCTGCAAGACGCGGAAACAAGATACAGTACATTTGGTAGGGAACTCCTAGCCATGTACTGTTCTGTACGCCATTTTCGACATTCTGTGGAAGGTCGTGATTTCATTATTTTCACAGACCACAAACCGTTAACGTTTTCCCTCAGCTCGGCGTCTGACAAATACTCCCCTCGTGAGTCGCGACAGCTGGATTACATTTCCCAGTTCACGTCAGACATCCGCCACATTTCTGGAGCAAACAACTCCGCAGCCGACGCACTATCTCGAATAGCTTCGATAAACTATATCGAGGGTATTGATCTCGTTGAACTAGCTCGGCGTCAAAAGGAAGACCTTGAGCTGCATCATGAGTTGTCGTCCACAACTCTCAAACTGCGACTTTGTCCTGTTGGATCAGACAAGGATGCAATTTTGTGCGATGTCTCTGCTAGTCAACCACGCCCAATAGTTCCGAAGAGTTGTCGACGCAACGTCTTCAATACGTTGCACAAACTCTCTCATCCAGGTGTACGAGCCACCATTAGGCTTATCGCACAACGTTTCTGCTGGCCTGGGATGAACAAAGACGTTAAGGAGTGGGCCCAGTCGTGCTTAGCTTGTCAAAAGTGTAAAGTCACGCGACACACGAAAAGCCCTTTAGGCTCATTTCTAGCCCCAGACATGCGTTTCGACCACGTCCATATAGATATTGTAGGACCCCTACCAGAATCTAATGGATGTACCTACCTTTTCACCTGTGTTGATCGTTTCACACGATGGCCGGAAGCAGTACCCATTAAAGATATTACTGCCGAAACAGTTGCTCGTGTTTTCGTCGAAAGATGGATCGCGAACTTCGGATGTCCATCCTACGTCACAACCGACCGTGGGCGCCAATTTGAGTGCGGACTATTTCACGCTCTAACGGCACTTTTAGGTTGCACTCGGTTCCGAACGACAGCCTACCATCCACAAGCAAATGGCATGGTAGAGCGTTTCCATCGACAGCTGAAAGCTTCCCTTTCAGCTACAAACATACCTCAGTGGACCGAGGCTCTGCCTCTAGTCCTACTAGGTATTCGTAACGCGTTGAAAGTTGATGCTGGATGCACTCCTGCAGAACTCGTCTATGGGACCACTCTTCGCCTACCAGGTGAGTTTGTTTCCCCTTCAACTTTCAAACATGTTTCCGACAGGGCATCTTACGTGACTAGGCTTACAAACGCAATGCGTTCAGTTAGGCCTTCTCCGATTAGACCGCAAACGACTGATGTTTTCGTCCACCCCAGTTTACAGAAGACATCACACGTGTTTGTTCGCCACGACGCTGTTCGTCGACCACTTGAACCACCCTACGACGGGCCGTTCAAAGTGATTAAGCGACATGAGAAATTCTATGTAATTGAGCGAGACGGACGTGAAGATACTGTCAGTATCGACCGTTTGAAACCAGCTTATTTCGAAGGCAACCCCATTGTAAGTGACGTTTCAGCTCGCTACATCCGACCGACGGATGACTCAATTATCGAAATTCTCGACGATGTGCCTGGTAATGCACAGCTGCAACAACCAGCGGCGCAACAAAAAACACGATCAGGTCGAACCGTCAGGTTCCCAGAGTACCTGAAGTCATATTCAACTTAGCTGTGTGTGTGCCAACCATTTTTTTTTTCGAGGCACTATTTTTCTTATTTACCGGCAATGCACAAACCCTCGTACACTTTGCCTTTTTATATCAATTTTTATTTACCATGTAATAAAAACTAAAAAAAACGGCGAAGATAAGCGTAAATTTTTATTTTTCGACACGTTTATATATAAATAATTCCCATTTTTACGCAACGTTTTCGTGGTATTAAAGACTTTTATTTATATTCCAGGTGCAACGAGCACTGGACGGAACGTCGAAAGGAACAGATGACCGCGACCGACGTACAATTTCATTTATTGTATTTTATTTATTTAATCGCCACGACACCCTAGAATAAGGTTCAGACAACCAGGGGCCACCTCACGCAGTGAGCCCATCGGAGAGTTTTACCAGTGGAGAAACCACTGGGTTTTTACTTCCGGCTGGTATCGTCTTAGGGTCCTCACGAACCCACTAGGGGGGGAGTGATCTGTAGCGTCATACACTTCCCCAAAATCAATAGCCTAGGGTTTGACGACTTCGACATTGATGCTGACCTTGATAGTTTAACTGGACTCGCTAAGCTGAAGGCACCCGGTCAAGCATCCTCGCCATTTGGCACGCTGTCGTGTTACGTTGCATTGCTCGTATTCGACTCTCTAGCCAGTTAGTTGGAACGCATCGGTATTTTGGCATAACCATCCAAATATACTATTCCATCCGACTACGCTATCGTGTTCTTCCTTGGTCTCGTATTCGTGGGTATATAACAAGTTCGAATAATTAGTGATTGGTCTTTGCGTCTGTCAAGTTCGCACCAGGACAAATCCTAAAGTACGCTCGTGATGTTGAACCCTGTCTGCTCTTTATAAAGTTCTTGTAACTTGGCATGCGCTGACAACCGCGATCACTGGAATCCCATACGAATGAGGAGGTCGTCACGCAAACCCAAAAAAGAAATGCCGAAGGAGAGCAGAAGGTAAAACCCAAAATATATGCAAGAAAATACCACTGGGGAGTACATCAATCGTAATATATGCGCGGCTTAGCTAAACATAGTAGCTAAACAAGTTGATATGCTAAACCAGCCATTTGGGGATCAGCTTTCGGGAGGAAGTGGAAGTTGCGCATGAAAGCAGTGGCACGATAGACGCTGATAATTACGACTGCTAGAGTCCCATTTGAATGAAGAATTGATCAGTCTAATCTGCAAGATGATGGTGTTAGCAGCTTTTGAAGCGGCCTAATTCGCAGATGTGTGGCAGTAATACGTGACTGTATAGGTTTTCCTGCACTTCCAAGTTGAAGTGTGACTCGTAAGATTCAGAATGAATTTCCTGAAATGCAACTTTCGTTTCGGGGCTAAACATGTGCACTTCATTGGGCTCACCGCACAATGATCCTCAGTAGACATTCTGTAAGCCATCATCTGTCCTGGATGAAAATTTATAGGAACAGATGGGAAAAAAGCTTGAGTAACCACGCAAATCTCGTCTAGAGTAAAATGGGCACGATGCATTTCTGAGAAACAGTCGTGAATTGGAAAGACCTTATGAACTGATCTTGCATGAACTCGACTGGTGCAAAGGTTAATCATTAGGAATCCGTTTTCGTCAGATACTCATGGGTGTAAGACCGAGGAAGAAAGTAATGCAGTAGTCAGGCGGAATATTACATTTGATGAAAAGCACCAAATTTGCCGATGCGTTCTGACTGACTGGATACAGGATTGAAGTCAGTGGCCGGTTTACTTAAGAGCTCGTCAGCTGGGTGCACCTGCATACCAACAAGTGACTTTGTTCCCACCAAAACCCGGACCCTGCACCCACATATTCAAGCGCCAAAGTACTACCTACTAAGCCACGGGAGCACAAGGCCCGCTACTAGGGCAACTTGGGGCATTTGCACTTTGCTTGTTACTTGTAGTTTCCAGTGCTATACACAAACGAACTGGTTGGCCTCTGTTGGCGGACGGATTTTCCTATGGATGTCACGATACTGAGGGGCATTTATGATGTTGTATCCGTCATGGTGAGGCCGAGCGTTTCCACCATGTGTGGCATCGAGAAATTACAAGTATCGAACAACAGCAAACGACACACTATGTACAAGTGGTGACTTTCACGCTTCATTGGTCTAGAAGATAACTCTTTGGAGTTTGAAGCAGCGGAACTGGGTTCCAGTTACAGTGGAAATATTTTGTTGTCATGTTCTTGTAGAAGAAAGGGAGACAATTTTATCTTTCCGTACCCTTACCAATGATCTTGCGGCTGATATGTCATATTCCTTCTCATGATCAGGCGTAGATCATCTTCGTGGCTACTTCAATCAAACTCGGAAATACCTGCCGAGTCAACACACTACCATGTTGTTTCCGTCATATATAGTGGTCAATGGATTGAATTCCGAACTGAAACAAGTGGTATTAGTTTTTTCGTTAAACACATTCAAGAGGAAACTAGATATGCACTGAGACGACTTAATGAGAAAAAAGAGGGGGCGAATCAACCTAGTTCCCTTAGTATTGAAGACTGAAATCTTGGATTGTAGATTGGATGTTGGATCTGAGGCAATACAAAACTCGCGTTACCATCAGCTGTTATCTTCGTCATTTCCAAGGTTGCAGTTTTCTGCGCAAGAAAAACTTTGCATATTCGTATGCTGCTAAAATGTACTACAGTTATTAAGCGTAACTGCTTATGCATTTGTCGCTATATTTTACTGATGCCATAACTGCTGTTATCAAAAAGCTGGTGATTCTTTAAGTTTTATGCACACAAAAAGTGTTTTCGATGCCAAAAGGGATTTCAGTCTCTAGTAAACAGCTGCGTTTCTAGCTACAGAGATGGGATGTAAGTGCCAATTACTTTATTGGCGACACAACTCCGAGCTGTCATAAAAGTCACAAGTTGATCTGCACAGAAGCCAAACACTTTTCCGCATTCCTAAATTGTTTCGAAGACTTTGGTGCTATATTTCAGGTTACCTTGTAGTAACATGTGGAAAAGATGATTTTGGACGATTTCCCAACACCTTTTCTGTATAGGAAAAGACTATCGTGTGATAGTCTTTTGTAACTACGTTATTGATAACGACAGTATTGGCTTATTTTAAGTCGTTAAGAATGAAACAAGCACGACACTTGACACATAAATAAGAGTGAGGCTAGTTTGTATGAAAGCTGTTGTTAGTGGCAGCAAGAAAATCTATGCGGGGTATGAAAAATTGAAATGCAGTTGTTTAATACACCATTACAAAACGGAATTTACGTTTTGTTACCATCAATTTCTTTGAAGTACTTAGTGTTTCAACTTCAAGCAAACTGATGTATCGTCTTACCACTCCCTGAAATAATAACTGTAATGTGTACAGCCTTGACACTCACGCGATTTTGGCTTTCGGTACATTTCACTATCTAAATATCACTTCACTTGTCTTCGCCGTATCCATGTCTATAGGTCACCCACCAAAGGGCATTCAAGACGAGTTATTTTCACCCTTCGAAGTGTCAGTCTTTCGTTATCTCGACACAGTGTAAAAAAAAGGCCTACTGCTTATTGCTCCATATTCTTGATCTGAGTCATATTCAAACAAATTGCATGCCCACAACTCACCTGTATTCATAAAAATAAGACAACCAATTTCATAAACAGAAATCATCCTTTTAAATTATCATGCATCTCTTTCAAAATCATGGCTTGTATGGACATGAGTGAGAAGTAGTTTCTTCGGTCTGTTGTGAAGTCTAATATTATCTTCCCTTCCACATCTGTACAACTGCCTTCTGTAATCTGGGACATATCGACGTCTTAATGGCATATGACACTTCCACTTGTATGAGAATGGGAAGCACACTTGACAGTTGCCATCCCTTCCTTTTTCTTCCACCTTTCTTCGGGCTGTTCTAGGTGTTAATACAACTGCTGTAATTGACTAGCAATTTCATATTTTCACAAACTTATCGTCACTACTATGCATGTTCTGACTAAAAATACATAGGAAATAAATTATTACGAAAGTAACATTCATGAACAAAGCTTTCAAGTAAACTTCCTTCCCTAATTAGTCCCTTAAGGCAGCTGAAATTCATTACTAGCAAATGCTTTATTCAGGTCGAAGGATAGTGCTCATGGCGTGGTACACAGATAAACCTGTATCCGAGTTAACAAGGCTTGTTATCTCATCATATACTCTTCCACACATTCTGGGGACAGATGACTTTCTCGTCAAGTCCTTTATTTTCTCATTGCAGCTGGTTGTCACCTTTCAGAGACCGTTCGCTTGCTGGCGGTGTCACCAGTGTCACGTTATATTTCCGTATAGAGGCCTCTGTTAGCTTGTTGATTGCCTTCATCAGATGGCTAAGATTCTCATAAACGTTCACACTTGTGCCTAAAAATATGTGGTCACAGGGTTATCGTAACCGCATTCCGATTGTGGTAAACGGATTTCCTTCTGAAGTTTAACTCCGTAAATTTTTAAATATACTAACACAGATGTTGCAGATTCGGTGGATTGCAAAGGCGTCATCATTAAATGCAAATGATTGCAATGAGGAATAGGTTTTCATGCATTGTAAATTCATGAAAGATGGAGTGATAACGGGTTTCCTAAATGAGGGCTGGTTCGCAACCTAATCCAAACTCTTGAGCAATTTTGATAGGCAGTCCAATGGTACACATTCTAAAACCCTTTTGTTTGACATATTTTAGCCCGGAAAGGTGTATATGCAGTAGATGTTCTACGTTTGTGTTCTGTATTTTGTGGCTGACTATAAGGGCAAAGTGCTATTATCTTTTTAGGTTAGTTAGGTTTTATTTTCTCTAATTAATATCCCCTAACGTTTGCAGCGTTTCTAGTATGATATTGTTTCCTTAGATTTCTTGCAATATTTCACTAGGATTTTACGTTATTTTCCAGGACCCCTTAAAAAGTCGAAGTTACTTGCTTGGTTACATTTGTTGACACACTGTTTACTTGTGAATAACATCTCGTCACTCTTTGTAAACAACAAACTTTCAGAGTTTCAGCCCGCGCCACGTATCAGAAATTCATTTTCAGCCATTAATTAATGTCTGATCACCATAGCAGGTTCAAAGTATGTTCATTTTATTCAGTGAAAAATGCGTAGATAATTGTTATTCACGGCAAAGCCAACAGCTTCGTTTACATAACGAATATTCTACCTTTTCTGAATATAACAAAAGTAAGGTATGCTATTATTATTTTAATTGGTATCTTTTCTTACTTTTGCAACCTATCTCGGCCTTTTCTTACGCGAGCATGCATCTTCACCAGCCGTGAGCTTTTCTGAGTATTGTACTGGTAGGATTATAGAAACCCGACCGATGTCTACTACCGTAACTTAGTGATCGGGTTTGGATATCACAGTGACCCAGAGAGCTATGCTAGTGGAGCACTTTTTCCCTTAAGGTCTTCCCATACTAGAAATGTCAGTTGAAGATAAAAAGCAGTTACCATTATAGTGTAAATTGGTGCACTATGATGAGGGTCCAAGGGTGAGGTCGTATTACTAACTGAAGGGGATTGTGATGACAGTAAATTTCTTCTCTTGGATGACCCGCAGTACCATAATGATGCTTTCTTTATGGGAAGTGTTAGGAAAGCTCGGCCCCCTAAAATAGTACCCCTTGCCCCACCGTCTTCCGGGGCCGGAGGTATAGGTTTTTAGCTGTACTCAAAACAAACAAACAAACTTACCGAAGGGACGTACGTAACTTTTCTGAGGCAGATCTCTCTGGCTTTGTTGTCAAAATATTGACTTCAAACAATCACTCGTTTCTGGCTAGCACTAATTGTAGCCGTAGGCAAAGACACTTTCTCACATAGCGTCTGCCGACTTCAAACCAGCGAGTGACGCAGATAAATCATGGCCATAGGTCAACCATCATTAGAGAGGATCGGTGGGGGATTGACGCCCTTTCTGGAGTACCAGTTTGGACTCTGACCATGCGGTAGTAAGAGCTCGTGTATATGTGGACTGTACTCGTTATAGGAAACAGTAGACAGTGAAGCCTATTTGTGTTCCATTGGAAGATGACGCAAAATACATATTTAGGAACGATTAAGCTAAGCATTTATCTGAACGTGACAGCAACGCTTATGCTGAGGAAACTTGGCGTGATATTAGGTCTACTGTAGAAGCAGCAGTAAAGACAATTGGTAACCTACACTCGAAGGTTAGCAGACCTCATTGGATCTCCAAACCGATTGATGCAATTAGACTGATTCCAGCTGACCCTAACCACAATGAAGAGCGAAAGTAACTTAAACGTCAGTTGACCAGTAGTCTTCGCGTCAATCGCGAGCGGTGGTGGGTGGCGAAAGCGAGGGAAATGGAGGAGGCACCAGCGTTAGGTAACACTTAGCAACTATTAAGGCTTATTAAGAATACTGGCAAGAAGACGAAAAGGACAGAACGACGATAGCCTCCCAGGACAGGTGACCAGAACGTTAAGCAGAGCCCTTTGAAGCACAGTTCAACTATCTCTCAGCAACTCTTCAGTTACCCGACATCCAGCCTGAGCCTGAATGGAATGTAGATGTCGGTCTTCCAACTCCTTCAAGTTGAGAAGGCTGTATGGAGCCTGAAATGATGCAAAGCATCAAGACCTGACAGTTTGCCACCTTCAGTTTTCAAGGATAGAGGTAAGAAATTACTGCCTAAAGTGACGGAGGTACTACGTAGTGTATAGGAGTCAGGGGCAGTGCCATCAGACTGGTCTACCTTTGATCATATCAAGTCTATAAGAAGAAATAGAAGTCTTCCCGTGACAACCATATGTGAATTAATTTGGCTACCTTTGTGCTCAAGACCCTAAGACGCCTGGTTATCCGACGCCTTACTGGAGCTCGAGAACAGCAAACTTGAGAGAAACAGTCAGGTTTCATACCTGGACGAGGGTGAATAGATCATATTTTCAACTCCCGACATGTCTTGAAACACAGTGGCCAGTGGCCGACACTTGCTATCTTATTGACCTGAAGACGGCGTTTGACTCAATCAACCGTGAGGTGTTGTTACAGCGTCTGACTGTGAAGGGAGTACCGAGAAAGTATATAACGCTCATGAAATCTCTACTCGAACTCGCATAGCCACCTAAGGGTTTGTGGAGAGTTGTCTTGTGAATTGGCGGCAACTAGTGTTTGCCTGGGATATCATGAACGTCACCGTTCCTATTTAACCCCATTATAGACGTACTAATGGACGTAACCTTAGGGATTAATATACTTCCAGGAGGACATCTTACTGACTTAAGGTATGCAGGTGATATTGCACTGATGGTTGAAGACGTTAACAAAATGTAGGATCTTATGGACATGTTCAGCAGAAATCTGAGGATTTTTGGCTTGCGTTTCACTGGCACCTGTCAAATGTAAGATGATGTTACATGACTGGTCTACACATTGACTCCTAGTTTAATGATAAGGAATGAAGTGGTGGAATATGTCGACCACTTCACTTACTTGGGAATTTGAATAATCCTGCAGAACGCGCTGGTTGCTGACAAAATCTCAGCTCGGATACAGAAGGTTAATTTGGCATCTGCTAACTTACGTCACATGTGGCACCGACTGGCGAGATATCCGATTACCTACTAAAGGTCGAGTATTCTGCACTGCAGTGCGTTCTGTCCTGTTGTCCTGTCCTGCGAGACACGGCTGTTAAAAGTAGAGGCATGAAACGATAACAGAGTTTTGATTACAGATGTTTCCGTAGCATCGGTAGCTTTAGGTGGAATCATGATGTGAGGAATGTAGAGGTGAGACGCAGGGCACTAGGCAAGACAAGCAAGTCGACTGATGGGGTTGTGAACCTTCATTGTTCGAGGTACCGAGTCACCGCTTACCTCGATGTGCCGTTCTAGGAGAATCTGGATTAGGTTGGAAGCGAGTTGAAGGTGACTAGATCAAGATGTGGCGTCAGTCGATGAAGTCTTTTACTGTTGGTCAGAGTCGTGTGGGGAGACATAGAGTATTTCGTTGGGGTCTCCGATACGAAACGAACTAGTGGTTAAGGAGTCTTGGTGACATGGGTGGAAATCGGTCACGATGACGCAGATGTATTCACTCCCTGACTTCTTAAATTTGCATATTCGCACTAACGTTATTTTCAGATTGGTGTGGCAACTTGAGCCGATACGCCTTGTGTCCTACGCTGAATTTTTCAGTCAGTCAGTCATTTAGCTACACTGGTTTTATCCCACCCTATTTTGTGGTTGTGTTAATTCATACATTGCAATAGCTGCGTTTTTTCTAGGTTTCTAATTCTGTTAGGGTCTGCCTTTCCATATTTGGCTAAATTTCTATGTTGTGATAATCTAGCTGACCCCGATCCGATAGTTTGACCTATGTACTTGACCTCTCAGTCATTGCGTGGAATTTGATAGATTAGAATATTTTGCCTGATTAGATCTATCAGATGCTTAGGCCAACAAAGTTTATCTCTGAGTGAATTTGCAGGTTTAAATACCACTCTAATTCCAGCCTTGTTGAGGATCGTATGTAAAGCTTCTGATGTTCTTCCTCTATATGGTAGCACAATAGAGGCTTTGAACTCATTTTACTTTTGTCGTCACTATTATTCGTATTCGTATTAGTTATTATTTCGTTTCTGATGTGTTCGTACGAATTTTCAAATAAACGTTACAGGACAATTATTAGTTAGCAGAGCTTCTTTTATATGATTCAATTCCTTGTTTAAGTTCCTGCACTGACGATTGAGTTTTCTATATCTATTGTTTAAAGACTAGACTAAACCTGCCTTAACAGACATTCAATGAGATGACCGGAAGTCGAATGCACTTAAGTGGAGAGAGAGATCGATTGCTGAATCCTTGTTCCTCGAGTCAATACCCAACACATGTAATAAGAATGGCTCAACACCTATACCAGAGATATGGGAAATTTTAATAACATTAAAAGCAAAGAATATGACTATAAAAATCAGAAGTCGAAAGTTGTGTGATTTTATTGATATGGTTATGGACAATGATTTATGCTTGAGACGTCATCAGGCAAACCATACTGTATCACTGTGTGTTATGTCAGATAAATAGATGTTATATAGAATTACATTCTACCACAGTGCTGAAGTTTTACACTTATACTACTGGTTAATCTTTCTTTAGGACATGTATTCAGTATTTTACTTTATTACTCTGTTGTACTGCAGCGTGGTTCGCTCTTTTGTATAAAATCTGTTCACAACCGATATCATTCATTGTTAGGTTTTCACTGCTGTAGCTGAGAATTTGATAGTTTGCCTGAGGCTCGGTAGTTTAGGCAGTTGACTTTCAACAAACAGGTCACGGGTTCGACCTTTGCTCATCCTACCCAGGTATGGGCAGCTAGGTAGTAAAATTAATTCTCACGCAATAAGTGTGGCTCGTCGCCCACCGCAATAGCTTTTATATGGTTTCTGAGTGCATTTCAGTGGCAATTTGATCAGTGTGTGTTGGCTTCCTATAGACTTACGTCTTCAGTTTTCTGGCTTTAGTTCTATTGGCTGCACTGCCCAGAAATGACAGTCTGTTCTTAGACTCTTCCTCCTTTATGAATTTGATGTCATTGAAAACGCTGTCGATTAAATCGTGTTTTTTCTAATTCATCTTTTCTAATGACAAAAAAAGCATTGTCCAAGTATCGGATCCAAAATTTCAATTTGATCACCTGTTTAATAGTGACTTCTAGTCTCTGCATTACTGCTTCTGCACTTAGTCCAGCTATTATTGGTCCCATTAGAGTTTCTCTCATCTTTTCGTACGTGCTGTCACTAAACTGGAAGTTTGTTATCAGACAAAGATAAATGAGTTTCATCAAACGTGAACACTGAGACAGTTTTCCTAACCATTTGTGGTTCAGTTGGTGTGTAATGAGCTGTGATGTCGAGAAGTTGATGAATGCCTAACGGGCCTTTTGTTATCCGAGCTGAGATCGTTTCAACTGCCAGCCATTCAGCCTGACACCGATTCAAGGTTAGTTGAAGTGGTCAACACAATCTACCACTTAACTTCAGTTTGTACACAACACATTGAGGGCATGTGGTACTACGTATTTACTTAGTCTGAAATAGATGAAGTTGGTTTTGAGCCTGGGAAGAATAGCTTGATTGTCTAGTGTTCAAATCAATGAACCATATTTCCACAATATCTCGTGATCGATGAATTCTGTGGAATCCTTCAGAGCAAAAAAATACATGCTGAACGTTTGTGAATATTTCTGCACCTAAGAATTGCGGTGATAAATTTGATCAGTGTTTTCACGATCAGGTCTTAAGTGTACCCCATTCTTTCGGTTTCTCTGTCCCCGAATTTCAGTGTTAGGTGATTATATATATCATTAAATTCAACTTTACTTGAGAGAAAAGTCTCCGTTTTTGGGACACAAGAACTAGCTGCTATAGTAAGTTTAAGGCTGCTGCTAACTAGACTGGGTCTTTTTGACCCGAGATAAACTTGTCTGAACTCGGAAGCCGAGTGACCATGTCTACGTGAGATTACATCAAAATAAATGTCAGGTGCTGCATCATATACGCAGTTTATTCATCTTGCAAAGTTACACCTAACGTGTAGTATACTAGGCTCAAATTCTGTAGCAAAATATACATAACGCTTAGAATTGAGAAGGATGTTGAGAGTTTTGTTTACAGTTGGAATATGTGTTGTGATGACGAAGAAATGTTTGATAAAAACTATTCAGCCTCCATGACATCAATGCACTAATTATATTTAATGTTTATTTTCTATTTCTGAAATATCCTGCAACCGACTGAAAAGAACAGTAGAGGAATTATAAGGTTCTTGAATGGGAACTTGGTTAACTGGAACTCATATAAGCTATCGTTTATTTATTGATACTTGGATTGATAAACCGTTCAGCTGACTTTCTTGGCTAGTTTATCTGGCGCTCGTGCAGGTGCTAATTGATATACTACGAAGACGTTAGTATTACAGTTATACTCATCATGAGTCACTTCAAGTGTTTTCAAGAGAAGGACATAGCGGTTCTTTGATGCTGTGTGTTGATTACAAAAAAGCTTTAAATTTTTCAAAGTTTGATCCATTGATGATACACTAGTTACACTGGCATAGTCTAAGTAGTTTTAGGTCTTTAATATACCTCTAGTTCATTGATAAGTAAAGGTATGTACAGAAAATCTTTCTAAAACGGAATTTGCTTTGCGGTCCAATCTATGTATTGAATGAGTTTTTGGTGTAACCAATGAACTTGTGTCGTTTCAGAGATGATTATTAGGAACCTTAATAAGTATGCTATCTCAGATATGTCTAATGGTTTTGGATAATGCAATTACTTATGTATGAAGCTACCGCGGAATGACGTTTGAAGAATTCAGAATGCATTACAGCTTGTCAAGGGAGCTGTATTGATAATGAAATCTTCTGATGAGACGAGTTAACTCGCTTAGTCATATCGTCGAGGATATATATTCGAGTGATGAAATGATTTGTGTTGTTCATATATTGTTCGTACTGAAGAATAACAAAGAACTCAGTCAGGATAATAGAATCGTCACAAATCTTAGAAATCCCTGGTAAACTTTTGGGTGGAATTGTAACTTTTGCCGTAAATGAAGTACGTTACCATGTGTTGGTGATGCCAAAAGTTATTGTTATGAATCCATTCTGCGTATGGTTTGTTATCGATGACACTTGACTGAGCGACCATCCATTAATTTAATTCTCCAACTGACTCATCTGATAAAAGGCGTTAATTGCTCACGGTATGACAGTGGACCTTTAGGTATTACCCGTAAAGTAACTACAAATATTTACCTGATTTATAATTGAGGTTAAAATTGCAAAAATAAAAACATGAAATAAGAAACAAACTTTCATCTGAGGATGTTGAAGAATCAGTTCTTTATTGACCTATGTAACGGAAATGTAAATAACGAAGTGAATTACCAGCCATAGCTTATAATATTTCAGAGTATAATTTATCTTCGTTTTATCTAGTCATGGAAGTGCCCTACATAAATTGGATGAAGAACTTTAGCGTTTATGAGACTCCTTCTCACATTTATCTCATTGGTTCCGATGCTGATGAAAGCTATTTTCGAGTTCTCAAAATTGACCGTTCTCCAGTTCCATTGGGCTATGATAATTTGTGGATGGACAAGGAGTGCAGCGGTTCTGAAGCAACTGTTGAGGCAGAAACTTTAATTGATCGCATATGGCGCCTCAATATTATAGAGGATCCTCACATTTATTCGAGATCAGAAGTAGCTCGATTGCTACATACCATTCAAGCAGCTAGTCGGGTATGTTTCTGTTATATCCTTGAAGTGACTACTTGATATATATATATATATATATATATATATATATATATATATATATATATATACCGACGCTTGGAAAATAACCCTCAGATTCCACCCCTTGCTGGTCGCTCAGTTTCTTGATAAATGGAAAAGACGGCACGATAACAGAAGACGTATTGGAACGTTAAAACGATTTACAAAATACATGGGCTATATATATATTTAAAGTGACCTTGGGTATTTCCAGGTCTTTCTAGATTCGAAAAACCCATTGGTTTTTATCTTTCCAACTAATTTCATATTCACATGTTGGTTCACATGCTTTCTCTTGAAACTTCGGGACGAAACGATTGGTTGAAAAGACTTCAGGGGTTTACAGCTTCATAAGAAGATTTTGTCAATCTCTCTCCACATCGTAACAGTTTCCTTTATTTTATAATGGTTATTCATATTTGTGATGAGTGAAGTTCAACATATCATTCTAGGTAGTTCTTGCGAAGAGCACTTCGACTGATTTTCTTTTGTTTCTATCGCTGAAACAACCTGAGATGAAATATTTCTAGATCATAAAATGCATTACTTCACTCAACTTAGTTTGTTCACCCTTAGTTTAACACGTGTAGCCTGAACCTCAATACAAAACCACGTATGCGTAGTCGTTTACCTGGGTACATTCGTACACTCTTGCTCCATATTTATGTAAGTATTCATTTGTTCGAACCGAACAAAATCAAATTTGCATTAGAATATGTTTCCATAGGCATTTAAATACTGTTATTGTTATCTGCCTCACCTAGTTCACTAGTTTACTAGCCAGGCCTAAACCAGGAAAAAGAGGGAAGGTTGGGCATAGGGCTAGCAACCCTACACCGTAATGCCAATCCAATCACTAAAGAAACTTCAAAACACAGAGAAGATTTAAAAATAAACTTATTCCTCGCTGGAATCGAAGAGACGAAATGACGCCAGCTGGTGAAAGCCTTCGGGAAGCCAATTGGCCGATGTGTCTTATCCCCCTCGATGAAAGCGAAAGTAAACACAGAGACATGAAATGTCCGTACCATGCTTAAACCTAGCAAGGCTGCTCAGATTGCAAAAGAAATGAGAAGGTATGGCATAGAAGTGCTTGGAATCTGTGGGGAATCTGCAGATGGAATGGAAGTGGACTCTCCAAACTGTCAACTGGAGAGTCAATTATCTACTCCGATATTATCACCCAGACGACAACCACGAGCACACTCAGTTTCACAGTGGCTATCATGATGTCCCCTTGAAGAGCATCGAAGGCTCTCTCTCATACAGTGGAAACCAATCTCCTCCTGTAGGATCAGGATCATGATAGCAAGGTGGATTCAACTCGAAAGGAAGCAAAGTTACAATCATGAAGTACCACGCTTCGTACCTACAAATACTGGAGGTGAAGAGGAGAAGGAGGAATTCTATACACAACTGCAATCAGTACTGAACAAGACCCCACACCAGTTGGCAATGGCGACATCAACATTCTAATGGGTGGGGTGACATGAATACCAGCCAAACTGGGAGCAGACAACACAAGAAGAGAACTTATCATGGGTCTAAAAGCACTTGGTGAAGTGAAGAATGAGAATGGAGAACTCTTTGGTGACTTCTGCGCATTCAACGATTTGGTGGTTGGAGTGAGGCAGTGTGTACAAACACAAGGATATTCACAAGGCAGCGACATGCATTTCACCGCACATCAGGATACACTAAAAACCAGTTCAACTTCATTTCACTCTATAGAAAGTGGAGACGCAGCCTACTGGACTCAAGATGAAATCAAGAGGGTGAGCTGATGAAAGTTCACACCACTTACTATCCAGTGAAAGGAACCTTCAAAACCAAGTTGAAAGACTTCACAGAGACTGGTGATAGACTACAGTTCAGGTTGAACAACCACCCAGAACAGAAACTGAACTGAAGGACGAAACTACAGGCGACATCTTCACATCAGCCATCAAGACGAAACAGGAGATATTAATCGATATCCCTGAAGAAACCTGAGTGGAAGAACACTGAACTTCTTTGAAAGCAATGTGGAAAGAAACCTGCATAACTGTATTTGGAAAGAGGGAGAGGCAAGACAGAGAATGGATCTTGACGGGTTCATGGAAGCTGATAGAGGAGGGAGAGGAAGATGGTGAAGCAGAAGATGAACCGGTGCAAGGATGAACAAGGAGGAGATGAACTGAACACAACCTGTAAAAAACACTGCACTGGACAAAGAAGTGAAGAAGAGTGCACGGAAAGACAAAAGACACTTCTACGATACTTGCAAGTGAAACAGAACAGGCTGCAGATAGGAGAGGCACAGTCCCGACAACACTATGTCAACTAACCAGGAGAGACAAAATATCAACGCAGACGAAACCAATGAAAGATAGTGAAGGAAAGTAAGTTACCATCAAAGAAATGAAACAAAGGAAACAATGGGCTGTGCACATCAAAAACTACCACCTAAAGATCGTTGAGAAATTTCACTAGCATCGCAGCCACAGGACTACCAATGTAAATAAACCCTCTGAAAATGGCAGAAGTGAAGTCCTAAAAGCCATAGATTTGCTGTAAGCCAAGAAAGGATTAGAACCAGAAAGAATACTCTGGATTCAAAGTGACTGGCTGACTTGAGGAAGTACAAATCATGTGCGGAACGAATTGCAACGCCACACTGCGCCACACATCATCATAGAACACAGCATAGAATGTCAGTCAACTCTTCACCTTACCTCAACTTCATCGACTTTGAGTTGGCCTTCGACAGTGTGGAGCGGGAAGTGATTTGGAAACTGTTTGAACACTACGGTTTTAGTGTCACAAAGCTTTATCAACCTCATTCAACAGCATCTATATGTACCATGATGCTACATGCGAAGTGATTCACACAGCAATCGAAAGCTGAGTGTTGCCTTTGAAGTGAAGACAGGAGACAGGTGTAGGAGGAGGTTGCCGCCTACTATGACTGATGATCTTCCTGATTGTGGTCGATTGGATTGGACTGGACTGGACTGGACTGGACTGGATGATGCAAGAGACAACTGTGAGGAGTGAAGTGAGATGAGGGGCATATGCTTGTCAGATGGATGAAAAGACCTCAGAAGAAGATTTGGATTTGGTCAAGGATGATGATTTGTGTCTAATGTCTAGTCGTTGAGACTCGAAGATCTACAAGTGACAACTAAGAAGTTGACAGGAGAGGTGAGGTGAGGTGAGGCGAAGCAGCGAAGGAAGACGGGACTTCCTTCAGGTGAACGTCGAGTGGACAGATGTGATGAAGATACCCAACCAGCAACAGCAACAGCAACGACGACGACAACAACAACAACAGGCACCAATGACTATGAATGGGAGAAATCTAAAGTAAGTAGTCTCTTTCACATACCTTTGTAGGCGGGCCAGCATCGTTTCAACTACAGGTGGTGGTGGTGGTAGTGGTGGCGACGAAGGCACAGATGAGTACGTGAAAGCAGCCAGGATTGGAAATACAGCAAGACAGGCCTTGATTAAGGTGAAATTTGTGTGGAGATCTACTCCACTCCACTCCACGCCACTTCACTACACTACAATCCACTGCACTGCACTGCACTGCACTCAGCAGCATAAAGCGTGAACAAGATCCGTATTTTCAAGACTAATGTCAGTCAAGTCAGTGCTTCTATGTGATGGTTGAGAGACTTGGTGTTTTACGAAAAGCATTTCGAACAAGCTGCAGACATTCATCAACAGCTGCCACCTACACCCACTCGATAGTGATGATCAGATGACCAGAGTGATAAGAATAAGGAACAAGGAACTCTGGTTGGCTGGATGGCTGACTGGGAATGAACCAGCGAAGGACCCATCGTCCAACAAATGTGCAGAATAAAGTGGAGATGGATTGAATTGGGCATGCAGTGAGAAGACTGATGGGTCATCACGTGGCAGACCAGGCCCTCGAGTGGTGGTTAAATGGGAAACGACGAGTTGGGTGTTGCAGTTGAGGGTGACATGGAGGAGATGGTGTGAGAAAGAGATGAGTGGTTGTGGGCAGTCATGGAGCGGGGTTGAAACTACTAGAGAGAAGAGAGTGAAATGGCGCTGTGCTACCGAAGCCCTTTGTTCCACTATGAACACAAAGGGCAAATAATGATAATAATATGTTTTTATCTACACATTACGTGTGTATTCGTTGGTTCACTTTCTAGTTGGTCGTCATTACATAACGTATATTTAGGAAATTATACTGACTATTCTAAGTTTTAGGTATATTTGACAGTAATCAACTTTTCTATGCATTTTCTTATACTTACAATGCCTTAATTTAGAATACTATCGTTTAACTTCTTTAATATATCAACCAATCTCGTTGACCTTTGTTTAGATCTGAAAATATTATTTCTTTATTTGACTTTGTGTTCACAACCTTTTTCTTTTCGAAATAAGTTATGTAATGTTATTTATTGTGCTCACCGAATCCTACATATGTTTACGTACTAGGTTATGAGTCTCATGATATAATATCTGATCGCCCTAGAGTTGAGTTTGAACCGTTTATGCCGTTAGCAGTTGAAGGAAAAAGTATCAAGTAAAGCCTCAATTTTCACCAAATATTATCACATTTGTCTTTTGTAAACTTTTATTTAGAAATATTAGTTAATTTGAACATTTTTTTCAAATTTGCGTGAAATTCTTCCTATCAGCAGAATGTCTCTCAGTCTTTATTCTACCGTTTGCTCACGTATGTCATGTAGCTAAAATATTAAATGGTGGTTCGTTCACTAGCAATTAGTAAGGGACTCTAAAGGTCACTCTACCAACCACTGAAATAACTAAATAGGCTTTGTTGCTTAATGGAAAAAGTATCCTTCCGAAATTAAGATGGGTAATTGATTATTTTAGTGCCTGCTAGGGTAGGCATTAGGGTCACTATTTCTACCTGACTGTTGAAACCTTAACATGTAGCATTGGCTTAACTGTGACTCAGTAGTTGAAGTTGATTACCCAAAATTATATTGAGACACACAGCAATGCAGATCACTGAGCTCCTTTCAAACAAGTTAATCAATAACAGGTTACCATCGCTAGTTTCAACCTAACAAGGTTTCCACAGTACTTCTGTATTGATAAGATACCTTCGATATCTAGTTGTTGTATGGACAACTAAATGCAAAAATACCGGGTTGATGTATAGTTAGGTCAGGAACTAGAGTGGCATACATCAATGTGGTCCATCTTTGGCGTCGTCGCAATGTCAGTCTGAACGTACAAGGTCGGGTTTACAACCCTTGAGTGCGTGCAGTTCTGCTCTACGCCTACGAAACCTGGCCTTTCCGAGCTGAGGATGTGCAACGATTCTGTGTGTTCGATCATCGTTGTCTCCGTAGGATTACTTGCATCCTGTGGCAGCACCATGTGAGTAATTTTGAGTACGACAGCGTGTGTTTGGGCATGATGGAGATCGTCATTCAAGAAGTGAAGTCATCTGGAACACTGGCTTCGGTGGCTTGAACATATGTCACACATGTCATCCCAACGGCTTCCACACCGTTCATTGTTTGCTAACCCTGGGACTGGATGAAAGAAGCAAGGAGGTGGGTGGTCAGTGTATGATGTGGTGCTGTGGGACGGAGGATAGTTGTATCGTGTTAGCATGTGTTGGTGCATCACGACTTCCTGGGTGGGATCCGAGAGATCACGCAACTCAATGGTTTGAGACGAGATCAGATATGGCTCAGAATCGAAACCAGCGGCGGTCATACTGTAGCTTTCTTCTATCTTCTCCTGCTGAAAAGTAATGAGTGTTTTGTTTTGAATGTGCCTCATTGGACTGCTCTTCTAATCATTCTTTTCGTATTATGTTTTATTTTTACCCACTTCCCTTCGCTTTGTGTCTTCTTAATGTTGTTATGTTATTTTGTGTTGCGCATTTCTTGTTGCCCTTTCTGTACCATGTTCGTGTTCTAATAATAATAATGAAGTGTTTTCTCAAAGAAGACCCGGGATGTTTTAGGATTGTCAGAGTGTGAATACTTATGTATACTAAAGGTCAAATTCATCTACTTTAGGGCAAAAAAACACACCACTTGTTTGAAACAATCACCGCTGGACTGTAGAATCATTTCACTTAAGAGCTTCACACATTATTGGTTACTCCGTACGTCTCATCAATTTTTTGATAATGGTTTAGCTCCGAAATATTTTATTTTGCATGATTAACACCTCCACATTGAAAAACATTTTCTGCTATGGTCGATACATAACTGTGTTTGAATCACGTTCGCTCACTATTTATGCTTCATCAATCTACTGAGTTAATTGCTATTCATTTATGGATGGAAGTCACTATACTACGACATCTTGACTAACGATTTCCAATGTGATACACTTCTACAGCATTTATTGTAATAATAATAAGTCTATTCCAGAGAACAACTTTTGGTACAGTTTGGAATTCTCAGTGTGATATTTCAACAAATTTACTTTTTGTGCAATAATTTCAAATTAGAAAAATCCATGGTAGTTGAAGAAATATAATAATAATAATATGATAGGTAGAAATGCACAATAATCAGCAGTTTTTAGGTCATCATCCAGTTTGTGTTGTTGCATGTGGGTCGAATAGTAAAGCACACGTAAGTTTGATGGTGGAGGCATATTCATCCAGTTTGAAAACTTGCTGTTACAGTTACGTGCCCCTGTGACAGCCATATAAAGCATTGTTGTGCGTTCAGGGGCCGACTGCTATCTACTGTGAAATTCTCCTGTAGTCTTGTTGTTAACCCGTCTAACCTTAGGTTGAAGACATTTTAAGAGTGCACGAGAGTATGTTTTACGATTAGTTGATATTTGAATGGTCAAAACAAATAAAAAAGCAAGCAATTTGATGAAGTATATTCCATAAAATGTTTTGGTTGCTCAAAATGTAACCAGGCCACCTAATATTATACATATGTTTTGTGCTAACGATTAACTCCTTACTTAGCTACAAGTAAATATATTATTTCTCATAGACCTTCATCCGAAAACTGATTGTCATGGTAGCCACAAGTCAGAAGCATCAAGCTCTCCTAAGTGGTCACGTTTCAGTTCACTGTTTTCAAAACGTCGATCTCAAGATCATCCCCTAGAATCAACGAAAATACGCCTATACTTTCAAGCTTAGATGTATTGAATGAGCTGCCTTCCAATCCAAAAGATTTACAACAAGCTGCTGCTTCTGCACTCTACACTGGTAGTAGTAAACGTTCTTTGGTATTGGCTACAAAATGCTATGGAATCGTTGGAGTTATACGTTTCCTCCGCGGTTATTACCTCATCCTAATTACTAAATACTCAGTAGTTGCACAGTTGGGTGAACATCAAATCTGTAAAGTTAGCTTACATTTTGTTAATCTTTTTGTGGTTTATATTTCATTAAATCTTGTTATGTATTATGCCTTGAATGTTTTGCCGATGTGTTTTTAGTGTTTACTTGTGAGCGAATGATAAACTAGTGTTCTTACACTTGGACTAACAATGTTTTATTGAACCTAGCAATTGTAATGAATAGTTAATTGATGATTTTTGTAGGAAAACCTTCAGGTTTCTAGTAGGATGTGAAAACTCTTTGTTCGGATGTGTCAATGTCGTAATCGGTTAGAATGTGCTAATATCTTGGTGGTTACCAACTACTTAGTGAAGTAGGACTCAATTCAGAAACCATTCACGGATTCGAACACTGGGTGTTGATCCACAGTAGCGATGTGACTCACTGATCTAAACAATCCATTTTCAACGCGCTGATTACACATTCGAACCTTGCTCATCCACTTACCCACGCTCGGTTAGCCAGTTAGTGCCATAGGTTTCCACTCAATAGATGCGACTCATTGCCCATTGTGCATTCCTGTATACTTTCAGCCGTAATTCTTATGCTAGGACTAATCCAATATTGATTATCAAGCCTCCGTACGTTTAGTGGATTTTGTTCGCACGATTCTTATTGGCTAGAAGTTGAAGTGTATATTTTCAATCCTGTTATTGTCCACCTCCAAGAAGCACTACGATAATCCCCATACTCTTTAACTAAATTCTTTCCTGTTGTAATTGAAATCATACTAGATATTATGTTTTAAGCATGATTATCAATTTGTTTGTCTTTTTTTTATACGTCAAATTATACGAAGGTTGAAGATACTTCTATGCTTTATATTCCTGGCAATGATTCTGTTGATGAAAGTGGACATTTAAACAACTATTCCAAGAATCATTATTCTTCAAAGTCTCATTAAATAGTACCATCTCACAAGATCTTGATTCTAATGTTTGCCCTAGCGAAGATGAACAACAAACAGGATTACTTCATTTAATTAGAAATTCCATGGGACGTAAAAAGTTGTCTGGTGATGAAATGCGATATTTAAAGTTATTTAGCAGTGTGGATTTGGCCAGTAATTTTTATTTTAGTTACACTTATGACCTATCTCATAGTCTGCAATACAATATGGAACCTGTAAGTTTTATCTCCTGACAATCAACTTCCCCTTATATTGCTAAGTAAATATTGTAGTACCTGTAGTTTTTTTTCGATGGTAATCATAGTACGAGTTATCCGTATACAAAACAGATACCCCTGTTTTTGGAGGTGTTGTGTTCTTTTAGCTGGATGGTTTAGTCGTGACATCATCAGCACAAACTTCAAAAAGAAGTGAGATAGAAAATTTTTTTCACAAATGGCTTCATAGCTTTCTCTGGTGACTTTGGGTGTGATTGCTTGTTTCTGCTCAAATCTTGCCATTGTCTCCATACTTACTTCGATTTATTGCCTTGCTGATGTGAACTTTGACCTTCTTATTGGATAGTAGATTGGATCAGTGTCAATATATCTGTTGATCGCTGCCAAACTTGTAAAAATTCTCTAGCATTCTTTGTATTTTCTCTATCCAGGATTTCCGAATGTTCCCGGTCGTATTCAATACACAGTTGTCCGCACACATTGATATGAGTGAAGATATGTCACAACACTTCACAACTAACTGATGTTCATGTAGACGGTTACCAAAAGGGCAACCACTCTCTCTGATACAGTGTTTTTCTCAGTTTCTGCAGTTTATTTTGTCGGTATTGTTTGGTTTGTCTTTGTTTGCCATTTTATCCTTCGACCTGATGAATAACGTAGAGTCAAGAGATTTTGTCGGCTTTTCGGCCACAGCGATTCTGAAAGGTTTCAGTAAGCGAGTTTAAATCTTACAGCTCACTTCTCTGTCTCTTCTGTGTGCTTTTTTATAACACCTATGTGTTTTGTTAACTATCAACAATTCACCAAATTCAAATGAAAATCTGAATAAACTTTCACAGGGTTAGGGTTAGAATACTTAACCGAAATAAATCACAATTAACAATGAACGAACACTTATAACTATGAAATACATGATCTAAGCGAAAAGAGTGAATGAAAACATCAATATGATTTTGACAGATTTTGCATCTTGTCATTGGCTATCTCCAACTTCTTTTCCTCTCAGCTTGTTAAGGAGCCTTGACAAGAAACGTAAGTTTCGCTAACTGGTTCATATCAGCTATTAGTGTTCGTTCCCATATATTGCTGTCGAAGTTTCCCATACTAGGCTGTGGTATCAACGAAAATCGTTAACGTACTGTGCATCATACTAAAAATGCGCGATTCGTGATCTAGCAAAGAATCTATGGATGAGTAAGCCTTTTTGACTAGTTAGTCATTATCTTCATAAAACTTGGAAAATTCTATAAAATCTTTTTATTATGCTGCAGAGTATATCACTATAGAGTTAACTGAGTAACACTACAATAGGTGTTACAAGAATCCATGGTCATGATAGTTTGTTTCGGAACTTGAATATGTCTTTATCTGATGGAGTATTTGTGTCTTTATGAAATATGCAAAATTTGCATGCTTGACATGTACACGACAACTTTCTAGCATGATTTGAAATCGAAGTTCAGTTTTAAAGCTTGGTTGACAGTCGCGTATTGCCAGTCAGCTGGCGTTATTGAACTGAACTTGTAATCTGCAAGTTGGTGGTTCGAACTAGGTCACAATTTAGACAGTTTTCAAGTGTAGTTTTCACTGCTGCACAGTTATACGGCACTCATATTTTCTAACCACAGCTAATGTGTAACAGCTTATAACATCACTGTATTCTCTAGCCCGAAGTAGACAAGTGTTGGAACAATGACTAATGACCTAGTACCTTACCAATGTATATGCATTTCTGGTAAAAATTTAGTGAAAATGTTGAAATCTCGAAATTGAGTTAGATTGTTCTCTCATTAACCTTTGAAAGATCGTTTCTGTCTACAAGTATCCTTGAAAATTGTCTCCGTATCCATTTAGTATTTCAATTCCAAGATAACTAATAAAAAAAGAAAAACGTTTCATTTGGACTTGATTTCTAATTGTTCCTCTAAACACACTTTTAGTTAACTAAGAACCGTTTATATGTTTATTTATGGATGTAATATGGTCGAGTTATAGCCAGTTACGAAAACTGAAACCAATATACACGTTCCGTTCTATTTGAGACTCGTGTCTTCACTGATACTGGATTCCAACACCTGCCGCTTTTAACGCCAAACCATTATCCACTAGACTAATGAGGCCTCAGCAACTGATGTGTCCCAAGTAGGACGCAGTATGTGTCTTGACTTCCGTTGCTGGCCACCACCAAGCCAATCATAACATGAATAATTAAGCAATATTGAGGCATCTGCATAAGAGCCCATATACCAACAGTGGTTGATCAATTCCATCCATTATAACAACAAAGGTCTACAAGTATTATTATTATTATCATTATTATTTTACCCTTGGGTTCCTAGTGGAACAAAGGGCTTCGGTAGCACAGCGCCATTTCACTCTCTTCTCTCTAGTAGTTTCAACCCCGCCATGACTGCCCACAACCACTCATCTCTTTCTCACACCATCTCCTCCATGTCACCCTCAACTCCGACAACCAACTCGTCGTTTCCCACTTAACCACCACTCGAGGGCCTGGTCTGCCACGTGATGTCCCCAGTTGGTCTTCTCACTGTATGCCCAATTCAATCCATCTCCACTTTATTCTGCACATTTGTTGGACGATGGGTCCTTCACTGGTTCATTCCCAGTCAGCCATCCAGCCAGCCAGAGTTCCTTGTTCCTTATTCTTATCACTCTGGTCATCTGATCATCACTATCGAGTGGGTGTAGGTGGCAACTGTTGATGAATGTCTGCAGTTTGTTCGAAATGCTTTTCGTAAAGCACCAAGTCTCTCAACCATCACATAGAAGCACTGACTGACTGACATTAGTCTTGAAAATACGGATCTTGTTCACGCTTTATGCTGCTGAGTGCAGTGCAGTGCAGTGCAGTGCAGTGCAGTGGATTGTAGTGTAGTGCAGTGGCGTGGAGTGGAGTGGAGTAGATCTCCACACTAATTTCACCTTAATCAAGGCCTGTCTAGGTACGTATTTCAAGCATCATTAGGATAATTAGTTTGAGTGATATAAAGCTTATTGGTTGCAACTTAGGCTTAATGATCTTGATGAACTATCCTTTTTCAAACAACTGATGGCATATCTTTCCATGATATAAATTAAGAACAACCCAGAGAAGTGATAACAGGGGAAATCATCAACTGAATGTTCTACATACGTAATTGTGTATACATGCACCGCGGAGTTGTGGCTCAGGGGTCGAAGATGACTATCAGCCACTGTGGCACGGGTCTGAGGCCCTTTCCGTTTACTGGGGATTGGGAAGGCATGTATACTCACTACCCGTCACACAATAGGTGTGACTCATTGGACAAGGTGGCTGATTGCGTTTCATTTATGTATATATACCATGATGTAATACAAGGCGAAAAATGTTTAGTTGAACTCAAAGCCCTAATAACAATGTCACTGACACATCTATCCCTATAAATCTCACTTTTTAGCAAACCACCATTAGTGTTTGTATACACTGAGCTGCCTATTCATTTTATTTAAACTTTGTGAGTGCTTTTGTGATATTTTCTTCTGAAAAGTTGTTTAGATCTGACCAACGAAAAGATGATCATCTGCTAACATGGAAATCTATTCCTAACGACAAATTTGTTTGGAATTGGAGATTAATACCTCCTAAGTTCCGACCATTGCTCAATCGTGACTTTTTCAAGATGAATAATGACCAGCCTGAATGGTTCACCTTATTATTTCATGGAAGTGTTAGTCAAATAGCATTATCAGCTTGTCGAATGCCAATGATGGTTACACTTATTGCTCGTAGGTCAAGGCATTTTGCTGGTCGCCGATTTTTGAAACGTGGTGTCAACTTAGTTGGTGACGTTGCAAACGAAGTAAGAGCCTTTATACTGTATATCCTTTTCTGTAGCGTCTACATTGTAAATTAACTGTGTTAAAGTATTGTTAAAATGACTCATTTGGTCGTGCAACTTGAAGCACTTTTTCGTTCTGGGCTATATATGTACTACTATGATTGACTAGAATAATCTGAGGACAGCTTTTATCTGTTACAAACTGAATTCTCATTTTTGTTGTTGCGTAGCAAGCGAAGACTTTCTCCTAGTTTGATATTCTTGAACACTGTTAGTCGTCCTTTGATTTACGGATGGTATTCACGATCGTAAGGTCTTTTTTGAACGATGTTATATCGATTAACCACTGGTTACTATTTCTTTCAAATAACGCAATTCTTCAAGGCGTTAACAATATCCTAAATATTATTCTTTTCATGATTACAGAAATGCATTGCCAATGAGTTCCAATCGAATATAAAACATAGCTAGGTGCATGGTTTCCTGCCTATTAACTTCTGTCATCCAACAATGATTCTAAGACTTTGAAAACTCACTAGAACAATTTACTCCGTCACCAGGTCCTGTGTGGAAACTATATATTGAATTGCATCATTATGGTTCGATAGAATTTTAAGTGATATATCAAAGGGAATTTGTACTAAACGGATGTAATCCAATACTGGATAAACGCGTTTAACATCTTTGGTTGAATTTTTTTTTCAAAATGTTTTACCAATTAATTCAAAAGTGTTTTTTTCTTTAGGTCGAAACAGAACAAATAGTACATGACACTTCATATGCATTCCTTCGTCATGGACGTGTTTCATCTTATGTACAAGTGCGTGGATCTGTCCCTTTGTTTTGGTCACAAGAATCATCTAAAGTTGTTGTCGGCAGACCACCATTAGAAATCTTAGTGAGTTTATTTAATTACTTGCTCCATGGTGGTAATAAAACTCCAATTCATTCATATTTTTTCATACTTGGTCTTTATTTTCCAATCTTTACTTTGTTTTGTATTCATGTTAATGACTAGCAGTGGAATCTAGGATACGTGTTTCGTCCTATCTGGGACTCGCCCATCAGCTGAATGTATGTGCACCTTAGTGAGTAGTGTTATTCCCATTAAGACTAGTACCCAGCACTCATCTTCATAAACGCAAAAGAGTTATCCACTAGGCCACTGGGACATGACAGCCAAATTTTGTTTTACTTTTTGCTGTTTTATGGAAGGTATACCTTAGTGGTATGCGTTGTCTACAGTTGCTTAGATGGGCCTTGTCTCTTTACCTATGAGTAGCTACATAAATCTGTCATTCGTTCCATGGCCAAGTTCATTATCTTCCATACATTGTATATTTTTGTTTATTCTTATCACATTGTGACCCGTAACAACCCAGTTACGTATGTGCTTATTTTAACTGACGAAATCGGAGATAAAATACACATGACAGTTAACTTGACATCTTTTTCTGTTTTAAAAAGTTCCTACCGTATTTCAGGTAACTGTTTTACTATAGCGCTTCTGCACCAAGTCGGCTATGAGCCATATTTATTGTCTCATATCTCTCCAAACCTCGGTAGATAAATTGGAGTTAAAAGCCGTTACCCTAGAGTTCAGAGTCGACTGTCTATGCGGATAAGCTGGAACTGCATAGCTATGCAAATAGTACCAATGTTGTTTATTGCTATAGGAGATTAACTTTCCTTTTTGAGGTTCAATTCCATTAAACATGGTTTATTTATAACCAAGAGAGACTGCAATGTTACTTCCCAATTTAGTAGATGTTCGTTGGATGGAGGTAATCGGCAGAAAACCGTGTACGTAGGTTTTCTGCTTGTTGTCATTCGTCAGCAAGGCTTATCTACATCATCGAGGAAAATGGTGTTCCGCCTGAGATACGAACCCTTATTCTCCAGTGATGCAGTCAGAGACGTTACCACTGAGCTACTTGGGCCGCAAGTAAGTAGTATGATTGTACAAAGAAGGTATTTGTGACTCACACGCTGAAATTTCACTTCCACAATTCAGCCAACATGAATAAATCTATCTATATAAACAGAATAGTTCTAATCATCTCAGCATATTTTTGCAAGTATTTACCTATGTTCATATAATGGTAAATATTGAACGTATCAATTGTGTAAGATGACTGACTGATAAAACACGGCAATTGTGATCAGCTGGAATTTAAAACAAAGATATTTAACACCAACTTTATAAAGAGAAAGTTGGGAAGAAATTGATACTACCTCGGTATCTGATAGGTAGCGGCATACTGCATCTGTACAGTTTTCTCCACAATTCCACCTATTTTTATTTCTGTCTCCCGAAAGTTTTGGTGATCCATGCGTGTAGTAACATAGAACATATTGCATCATAAACTTGAGCAAAGTAGGCATTGACGACCCTGGCAAAACGAAGTATTCATTGTCTCCAACTAAGGGTGTAGTATCTAATTGGTTTTCATACTTTTATCTTGTTTATCAAGCGTGATGATCCATATTATGAAGCAATGGGTTTACACTTTGCCAGCTTACTTAAACGTAATGGATCTCCGCTGATTGTACTGAATTTGATGAAAAAAAACGCGAGAAAAGGAAATTTGAAACAACATTATCCGATGGATTTGAACGCGGTATCATTTACTTGAGTCAGGTAAGCTGACTGACACAGTTTTAAGTTGTATTATCACTTGTTATCGCAGTGACGTTTGTAACTTATTCGTTGGAATTCATGTGATTACCGATATTAATGTAAAATGTTTGTCTATCATGGTTTGTTCATCACTCTTCAATGAAGACAGATTAGTTCACTTGATGTAGTACATAATGGTATAGTATTATCTACCGGATGAGGTTTTGAGCCCAACTTTTACTGCTCATATTCGTATCAATACTGTATCGCTGTGTGCGCTACATTAAATGCGCTAATATGATGTGGAATTATACTCCACTACCAGGGCCTAGATCTGTGTTTTACCTTGTCATTGTTTTGTTTTGCTAGGGTGCATCTCTAATTCACTCTGTTCATTTTTTGACTCTAAAGAAAATTGTGTCGCATCTACCACTGAGTTTATTTACATGAGGAAGTTATAGATGTGTTCATATTTGTACACACTAAATTTATCATCCATGTATCGTTACCAAACTTTTAGGTAAGGATTAAATGCCTCATGAGCCGTACACTCCCAACTGTCCATAAAAATAACTGTCATGACTGGAGATTGACCTAATTAGACAAAATAATTTATTGTACTACATACCATGGGATATCTGTGAGCTGAAGTAAGTAGGTCAAACTAGGCGATCGGGATCAACTAAGTTAACAGATCATAGAAATGTAGCTAAATCTAGATGGGTGCAGAAGAATTCAGCCAAAGCTATGCATGCCTTAACCCCAACAACATAATAGGGTGTTATAGAGTAACAGTTCTAAAGACGGATGTTGTTAAATAGGGGTAGATCGCTCAATCTTTATTCATCTATTCAATGCAATAAGAATGATTCAATACCGATCGCAGTAACAATTGAATCAAGGAATGAAAATGCAGTCGAACTATAACAAACTAGAACAGGAAGTTCTGTAAATACTTTGATGTGAATATGCATCATCTAGTAAATGGTATTGTATCACTTTGTGCTACATCAAGCAAACTATTGTAATGCGGAATTATTCTGTACCGTAGTCCTCAAATTCCACACTTAGTTTTGTTTCCTTACTGCAAAATATTGTCGTCGTACTCGAATCTTCTGTAAACTTTTTTAAATATAATACAAAAGGATGACTTGTGTGATGTGGACTAATTCGAAAGTATTGTTTGCTATGTAGGGTCGGATTGTTCCACCGTTGTTGTGTCCCTATGCTGACACCTTGATACTACCTGGATATTCATTATAATGTAGTCTGTTTGATGGTTGGCATCGGAATCCAGGACGCGCGTTTCGTCCTATTTGGGACTCATCAGCTGGATGTTCTGCACCCCAGTGATGTTTTTGTTCCCACTAAGACTCGAACTCACCACCCATCACCATAAAAGCCAAAGCGTTACCCACTAGGCCGCTTGGCATAAGAGGCACCACTTGTGCAATGGATATCAGTTGTTGTTATGATACTTCTAATTTCTCGTTGCTATACATCCGGATAGGAGCCCATTTGTCTACAGAGGTCGAGTAATTTGACCGTGTATAGCAGCGGGAAACTACACGTCTCAAACAACGGCAAATGATATACGTCACATAAGTGGTGGCTCTTGTTCTCCAGTGGACAAAGCTTTGGGAGGTTGAAGAGTCGGGTACTGGGTCCGAATCTCAGTGGGGACAACACTCACTGGGGTACAGGTACATCTATCTGACGAGTCCCAGATAAAATGAATCGCGCGTCCTGAATTCCACTGCAAGTCACCAAGTTGGGTACAACATAATTTGTAGGAAGTTTCATCCTGCGTTGACATCGGTTAGAGAACTATTAAAAACTGGGGTGCTGTCGATCGCTGTTTCGTTATTGTTTGAGCATTTTCACCGTTGTGGACTCACGTTTATCCATTTCATGCAGGATTCAGTTCACAGTTGCCAGATTTGGAATTTAGTAGTTCCCACCATGAATATCAATTCCATTTTTTGTTATTTGAAAATTGCCTTCTCAGGTAATTTATCTCTTGCCTGCTTTTACTCTTGCACTTACCTCTTCCGAAATCTGAGCATTATTCATATGAACTGTTCCATTTTTAGTTCTTACCCTCCAGAATTACAAAACCATCTGGTTCTTTCGGTTCATCTCCCATGGAAATAATCGACAACAGCCCGCCTATTATCTACATTGGATTCGATATTGCTCGTGTACAAAAGATGAAACATACTGTTGCTTTAGATGAATTACAGCCTATTATTGATAATTGTGTACGTCGCACTGGCATACACTTTTCATCATCCGCTTCTTTACCAATTTCGGAAATTCCCTTTGAAAAACACAGATCAATTGGTTTTAAGTAAGTCGCTTTGTTATCTTTGTCATTGTTTTAACGACAACTGATCGACTATTAGCCGCAGATTGTGGTTTATGCCAAGCTGTAGAATGTCGTCTCTACCATCAAAAGTATTTTAAGTCAGCATCAACTTACCTCATTGCTACCATTTTTTGTAATATCTAGACTTTATCTTTCTGTCTTACATGCCTATACTCAAATAAAGCAACCACATCACAATGAGTTGCAAATGGTATTAAGGTACTACTATAAATTGTGGTGACGCAAAGTTTCCAATCCAAGTCAGATGTGACTACAGTACTCAACGATGGCACTAGATCACCGTTGCTTTGTATTGCGAATGGATAGAAGCAGGATTCCGACCCAATGGCTAAGTTGTCATATGCTCGCCATGAAACCTGAAGGTCCTGGGTTCGATCCCTGGTGGAATCGTGGGTCTACACTGGTTAGAAGTCCCATGCTAGAATGAAACATGTCCAGTGCTCAAGTGGTTCTCCAAATGGTGTTGGCCAGTGATGAATACCACTCTGAATTGCGAAATCTATCTGAACGAAATCCGCTTTCAACTCTGCCCAGTTAGTCTTAAAACGAAGACAGTGCATGGTTTGAAGAAATTTGTGTTACCTAGAGAATAATAACTTGTAGCATGGCATAGTCATGTATACACAAGAGTAATACAATTGCCACTGGCAGAACGCATATAATCTAAGCATCAGAGAAACCAATAGGAAAGTGATGCTACGAAAAGCGGCAGAAATGAACATTCTGTTGGATGAACTAATGTTACCGAAGAAATTCAAATTTTAGAAAGCAGTTTTGCAAAAATTGTGCTTAAGTAGGGTCATTTGAGGAGAACCATAAGTTTTCAATATCCACACAAGACTATCGTTTTCTTAGGAGTATGTATTCGAACTCATGCTTTAATGTATGATGATTTCATCTTATTTTCCAGTAGTTGTCACAGTCGTCGCTCTAAACAAATTCATGTAGCACAACTGGAAGTTCAACCGAACTAGATTTAAGACTAGTCTTAGATGTCCCAGAAGCTCTAGGCAAAGATTGGACTTAAAATCGACGATTTGAACTATTTTCAGAGTGGGCTCCTAGGAGATTCTGGCTACTTTTCGAAGTCTATTAGTCAGGTATGCCTGATAGTAACTGAAATGGTATCTGTTAGTCTTTTACGTGAAAATTACACCATACGGTTTTTTCGCTGGTATACAATAGCTTTCAATCATTGAAGTTTATTCTATGACTAAATTTTTTTCAATTCTGTACCTTCGCTACTGAGTTCTCCGCTACTCATAAAATAGTAAATTTTGCTTTCTTTTGTAAGCGTCAAGAATCTCAGAGTTGTCGTCTATTGCTACCACTGAAGTGCTCTCAATGTTTGACGTTGTGTCTACTATTCAGGCGATGTATTTTGGTAATGATTTTGCTGAACACTTTTCCCTCTTAATTTTAGCTCTAAGCAATGTGGAATAATTCGAGTGAATTGTGTTGACTGTCTAGATCGTACAAACACAGCTCAGTTTGTCATTGGTCGAGTTGTCTTAGCCTATCAATTGTATGGTTTAGGCTTTCTAGCTGAACCGGATTTCTTGGATAATTCACAGATTGACCGATTATTACAGGTAAGATGTACGTCATGTCTCTTGTTTTAAAATTCCTTATTCACAAAGACATTTAACCGCTATGTCTATCGATATACGTCTTATCCGTCCCCTTCTAATATCTAAAACCAAAGCATAGTGACACCTATCCATGAAGCCTCTGACATTAAATATGAACCATGTTGAGAAGTTCATGCTTCTTTGTTGTGTCAGATAAACAGTTGAAACTGATAGTGGGAAAATTTAGGTGGTCTGACTTTTGACTTCTTCCAATATCACCTCGTTAGTTATGAGGTGGACTATTACCTCCTAGATCCTTCAAAAAGATACCGAAAATTCCCTGAGGACAATAACAACCCAGCACTGTACACCTAGTGTTCACAAAATGTCATTTGATCACACATTTGAGCTTCAAGTTGGTAGATCAACGTCACTTTTTCCTGTTCTTGAAATACGGAGTGACCCTCTACGGATGAAGTTTAAGAGTTATCGTCCAATTCCTAATTTTCTTTTCGCTGTGGTGTTTTTTAATATTTCAAGGCGAACCACTGTATAATTATGGTATGTCGTATGTTGTATTTGTTTCTGTCTAAACTTTACCAAAATCTAATACATACTTACAGTATGTATTCCACTTTATGCAATTCAAAACGCTATGATAATAACTTATTACAGAGTTATTTATCGAAGACCATATTTTAAAAACTAAGGTTCTGCTTTTTTGTTCACCGAGTAAAAGTTGAATTTTTGAAGACAGGACTCAATGATGTGCTTTCCTTCTGTTTTTGAAGGTATACACTTTACTACTCATAAGTAGACAAACATGAATAGTTTTTTTTTATCAGTTAAATACAGCGAACACAGCTTGACTATGCTTTACATAACCTGTAATCATTTAGTCAACTCATGAGATAAAAAGGGTTCACAATATATCTAAACCTACTCTGACTGCGACAGCTGTGGTCGGGCAGACTCGTACTGATACTGGGTGGTGATTGAAGGTTAAGTGAAAATTTGGTCCCTGACGGTATTCGAACCAGTGATCAACGAGTTTCCTGACCGGTGCTCTACCAACTAAGCTTAGTTATGCAAATTCAACTTAACCAAACATTAGTAAATGTCTTGAGGACAACTACCAAGCAATGTGGTCGTGAGTCATAGTTTCTAATGTCATCTAAAGTCATCGATTACACCAAAAGTCAATCATGAGTTAACTATAATTTATTGATTCTGAATCTGCATCCAGTTTGCCGAAAATGACTGCAAACTGTTCACTTGGTTTTGTCATTCTTTAGCATAATCACTAACTCATTGGTTGGTTTATTTTGAACTTTCTAAAAACTACTTATAATCAGAACAACTGAAAGTCAGGGAGTATAGAAAATTCCTTTTCAACTTACGTGTATGTCTGATCCAGGTGAGGAGTGACCTGAGCCACACCATACTCCATGATTCCTGTTTCCGAAAGTCTCAATCACTGTGTATAGGGTTTATGTTTATAGAAGTCAAAAATTCGTTCTCACCAAAAATTGACAGTGTACATCGCTGACCACTCCTCAAAAAGGATTTCAGAGTGATCAAGTACTTTCATGTGCACCAATGGAAGTGGTTTCATTGGGTCGTGAAAACTAACAAGAAAGAAGATAGTAAAGAAAGGTTTCATTGAGACTAGATATTTTTTCAGAAGTTGCACATTCTTATTTATAGCTACAACGAAAATATATGTCTGTCAGCAGCTATTGGGTCAAAATAAAGTCATTGGAGATGGTGATTGTGTAATAATCTATGAAGTAATGGGACAGGTGAGATAAATGGTACAGTCATCTTAAAACTAAAAATTAGGGAATAAGGAAAGGGAATAAAAACAATAATGCTGAGTAATTAAATGAAACAAGTCCTTGAGGGTCTATGACCAAGGTAGAATTAGAGATTGAATGTACCTCTTTTGTACACAGAGATCAGACTTGAACTGGTGAATTATTAAGGCTTCTGTTATGTTCAGGTGGCTAGTCGGCGCTCGCTTCAAAATGTTTGTTTTGAATTTACTAATGACTTCGAAGAAAGATTCTGGTGGAGCAGAGTGACCTTTTGCATTCTCCTGCAGACAACTATTTAGGGTAGTAATCAGGGATGTATTTGGATAGAACACGCTTTATGCGGCCTATTTAACCAGTTCCGCACACATGTAGGTGATCCAAAGCTGTAGTTTATCCTTTACGCCCCTTCGAATCAGTTATTGGTTGACTGGAGAAAACAACCCGAAGTTGGCCAGAAAACTTTTCCTCAGTGCTTAACAGAACCAATTCTAGGGTATCTTTGACATTGTATCTCTCCTAAATCCAATATCCATAAATAGTATCTCCTTACGAAATGCAAGGGTTTGATCTCGGTATTATTTTAAGGGTTGTAACCCACTGAGTAATTTTTGATGACCTTGTGTTGACTAATTAACCGTTGATGGATGTGGAACTCATAGTAACTATAAATACAAAAGTGTAGCTTCTAAAAATGATTCGTCGAGGAGAATGCTTTCTTCGCTGAATCGTCTTTTGTTAATTTTTCACTACCGTATATGAATGTTTTGATGGTTGACGAATAGCAAGGATCCTTTCAAGTTTGCTAAGGCAGATACCACGATCAGTTTTCGGGGAAGCTGTATACTGAAACGTCGATTCTCGAAATCATTCTAGAAATTTCTTCGTCATAATCGTATCCATCTAAATCATCCTTTTCTGAAACAACTCACTCAAAAGTATACCAATGAGACCGAAACTCGATTACGTGAAACAAAATGCAGTGTTTCATTGAGAGAACCTGCGTTTCATGTGAATTGTCAGACGATAAACGTAAGAAATCCAAAGACTACACAGGAACAATTACGAATGGACGCTCAGATGTAAGCCTAAAGTTTATGAAGAGTCTTAGAGCAACAAATTTTTAATTGGTTTTTCAGAAAATCCTGCGAAAAACGCAATTAACTTTCAAATATGTCTTTACCGATATTCCAGTTTCAAGTGCTATCGTTAGGCTGTGATATTTCGATAGCTATAAATAGGACTGACGTAAGTTTGGTTTGGAAGTTCAAGTAACGAGAAAAACGGTCTAATTTAAGCTTCTAGCAAGAGTCTGTAACAATTTAAATCAATGATTTTGAATTACTACCTTCCCTCTGTGAATGCAAGACGGAATAGTTGAAAACTGTTGTCTAAAGAAACTAAAGCTCTTCTCAATGAACTTCCTAACACAAATCTTTAGTACAGTCGCGTAGGGTTTTAGAAAATAAAGTAGTTGTTCACATATCTTAGGACTTCACTGTTTCGTTTCAAGTCATAAGCCTTTGTGGTGCTTAACGTAGGGACTTTTCTCCAGCCTAATGGTATCATTAGCCATCAGTTAATAGGAATAACTTACAAAATAATATGTGATCATAGACGTGGTTCCCAACCGACAAAATTTACTTCCTCATCTAACGAATCCTAATTTCATGACTTTATTTTGTAGTCAGTGCCACTTTAATTACCGTTACTGTTTTGAAAGCTAAGACCCGTAACTTGAAATTCCATGTAAACAAATGGTTCATATCTCTGAACTGTCGAACATACGCCCTGCATACTGAAATATTATTTATGGATATCTTATAAAAATGTTGCATACTAACTACACATGTAGGACTTTACTCTTTTTCTTGGCATAATTTTTATTATTACAAATGCCTTCCAGAATTATCCACACTTGATGAAACCAACAATCGATTAAACGTGTGATTCGAAATGTGGCTCATCTTGAGAGACATTAATTTGTCCTCTCTTCATGTGAAACTTTCACAAACTGGTTTGGTTTAGACTTAAGCTATATACACCCTGTCACTATCCATATGAACTTTTGAGTTACATAGGAGAAGGGAATTGAAGCAGAAATAAAAAGTGGTTGGCTAAGGACAAATAAAACTACTGGAAACCGACTGCAGTTGTGTGCATTTCTGTTTTTATAGAGTTCAAATACTTCATTTATTTAATTTTTTTCCGTCTTTTTATAGTTTATTCCAGCATGACTTTCATTTAGCATCAAAGCAAGTATTTTTGAAACATACAGTCTGAGGTGAGAATATCTCCACTAGGTGTTACGTTACCTACCATCACAAAATCGTTCAAAGAGAAAATATCCAAACCTTATCACACGGTCTACTTCACATACTTTTGAGCGTCAAGATAAGGAGTACAGTCTAATCTTACCACCGCATCATGTCTTTTTCACATTTGAAGGTAGAGATAGTTAGAATTAATTTTTTAAAAACTGTTCTGCTGTCCAACCTGAATTAACTCAAGTGCTGATGGATGTCCGTAGTTTGAAATTACTCATACCAATTGGTAGCACTTCCCATATTGCTTTGATGTTCACTTTCTGAAGAAGTGAAAAGGCGTGAATCGATACAGTATTTCTACTGAATTCTACGTTTACCTCAGCAGTCAGTTGTGTTCTTTTCAATTTTTCCGCTTAGTACTAGCTTTTGATACGTAAAATGTCAGTTTATCTTAACTTTTCTATCTCCACTGTTTTATAAATGAACAGGATTTATACGACGAGCATGGAGATACATTGGCGTTACAGTATGGCGGTAGTCAATTGGTTCATAATATAAACACTTATCGTAAAACGAAGAAACTCTCCAGTCATTCTCGTGATTTTGTCCAGACATTGTCTAGGTGAGCTGAGAAATATGTTTTAACTTAAGGTGTTTATTAGTTATAATCTTTTTCCTGCCAAATCACACTATTTTACAGATTATTTGCCATCAAAAATGTTTTTTCTTCAGTAAATATTTTGATCAATGTAAAAGCATATCGTATTTGTTTGACTGACTGTTTAGTATGAAGTATATATATATATATATATATATATATATATATATATATATATATATATATATATATATATATATATATACAATTCCAAAATAAAACTGTGTCTTTTGATAAGTGCATACTTTCTTGATTCCTCCTACTGTCTATATGATTTCTTCAGGTCGTATGTGAAACTAAATGATAATAGCTATAATAATAATAATAATAATAATAATAATAATAATAATAATAATAATAATAATAATAATAGTTGCTTTAGGACTTGTCTGTGCTAATGTCTCATCTGAAAATAGGAAGTAAAGTGATTGAGCGTGTTGATCACTCCACCTACTTGAGAAGTCACCTCAGCCCTTGAGGGATCAGTGACAGAAAAAATAGATACATAGATACGAGGGACTCGATTAGTTTTTGCTAACCTTCACTGTTTTTGGCACCGGTAAAATGTCTTATTAACTTCGAAGGTTCAAGTTTACTGTGTGCTAATTCTCTGTGCCCTAATTTACAGCTAATACATAACCCTTAAGAGTGGATATTTGGAGCCTGTGAATATTTGATTACCTTTACCATCATGACAGCATATACTTGCTCACATTTGTTGTGGAATGCCACATAATGGCGATAAATGAAGTGAAAGACCGATGTACTCTATTGTAACTAGTCTGATAAAAAACCTACCTATAATAATAATAATTATTATTATTTTATTATTTGTCCATTGGGTTCTTAGTGGAACCTAAGGCTTCAGTAGCACGTCTGCATTCCTCTCTGTTGTCTGAAATCTTTTGAACCTGGCTCCACGACAGCCCACAAGCTCTCATTTCCTCCTCTCACGATCTCCTCCATGTCACTCTTGCCTCGGACACCCAAATTGTCGCTTCCCATCGGGTTTCCACTCGAGCAACTGGCCTGATGCGTGATGTCCTCAGTCGACCCTCTCAGTGTATGCCCAGTCCATCTCCACTTCCTTCCGCATATTTGTTGAGTGATAGGTTCTTGGTTGGTTCGTTGCCAGCCAGCCAGAGTTCCTTGTTGCCTATCCTTATTATTCTGGCTATCTGATCTTGGGTATCGAGTGAGCGTAGGCAGTTGTTGATGAATGTCTGTAGTTTGTTGGAAATCCCTTTCGTAACGTGCCAAGTTTCTGAACCATTTAGGAGTATTGACTTGACGTTGGCTTTGGAAATCCAAATCTTGTTCCACATGCTGAGTGGAGTGCAGGAGATCTCCACACTGGTTTCAGGTTAATGAACGCCTGTCTTGCTATCTTTCCGATCCTGGCTGGCTTTGACATCTTCGTCTATGCCGCCTGTAGTTGAAACAGTGCTGCCTAGATAGGTGAAGGAGGTTACTTCCTCTAAGTTTCTCCCGTTCATTGTGATTGAAGTTTGTAGTCGTTGTTGGTGGTGTTGTTGGTTGGGTATCTTCATCACCTCTGTCTTCTCTATATTCATTTGAAGTCCCGTCTTCGCTGCTTCGCCTCTTCTGTCAACTTGTTAGTTTTCGCCTGTAGATCTTCAAGTTTGTGTGACATTGGACACAAATCATTGGCAAAATCCAAATCTTCTAGTCTCTTTTCATCAGTTCGGCGTATCACCCTCTTCTCGCTGTCCACTGTTTGCTGCATGATCCAGTCGACCACAATCAGGAAGATCATCAGTGTTAGTAGGTGGCAGCCTTGTCTTACTCCTGTCTTCACTTCAGAGGCGCCACTGAGCTTACCACTGTGGATCACTTGGCATGTGGCGTTGTCATATAGCTGTTGAATGAGGTTGATAAGGATTTGTTGCATTAAAATCGTAGTGCTGAAGCAGCTGCCTGTCAAATTACTTGTCGGTCGACGCTGTCGAAGGCCAACTCAAAGTCGATGAAGTTGAGGTAAGGTGAACAGTTGACTGCCATTCTATGCTCTATTCTATGATGATGCGTAGCGTAGCTTTGCAATTTGTTCTATACGTGATTCGTTCTTTCTGAAGCCGGCCAGCCAGCTAGCCGTCCTGTTCCGGTCGTAATTTTGAATCCAATGCATTGTTTAGTCTCTTCAGGATGATGCGGCTTAATTTATGCTTGAAGTGGACAGGGGTGGAGCATGATTCCTCGTCAGTTCTTCCAAAGACTCAGGTCTCCCATCTCTGGGAGTTTGACAAGGTAGCCATTCTTCCAATCAGCAGGCAGGTACCTTTCCTCCCTTCATTCCTTCCTTGCTTCCTTGCCAACCTTCTGTAATAGTGGTGTGAGGGTGTCCGCTGTTGTCCCTGCGTCTGCTCTCATTGCTTCTGGAGGAATTCCATGTAGTTCTTCTGCTTTCCCGCATTTCAGCAGCTTTATGGCGCCCAGAACTTCAGCTTTTGTTGGAGGGCCTGTGTTCACTGATACTTCTGTGGCTGGGCTGCTGGTGACAGTTCTAGACCAGTTGCAGGTGATGGTGGTGGTCGATTCAAAGGATTTTTGAAGTGGTCAACCCATCGTTTCGTTTGTTTCTCTTCTTTGGTAATTATATTCCCTTCATGATCTTTTATTGGTTTCATCTACGTTGGTCTCTTCCCGGACAGTAACCTGGTTATTCGATACAATGCAGGTACCTTTCATTCCTTCCTTCCTTCCTCCCATCCAAACCTTCGGCAATGGTGATGTGAGCATGTCCGCCGTTGTCTCTGTGTCTGTTCTTAGTGCTTCTAGAGGAATTCCATCTCGTCTTATTGTTTTCTCGGATTTCAGTGACTTTATGGCGTTCATGACTTCACTCCTACTTTCGTCGGAGGGTTTGTGTTCACTGATAGTTCTGTGGCTGGGCTGCTGATGACAGTTCTGGACCAGTTGCAGGTGATGTGGTGGTGGTCGATCCAAAAGATTTTTGAAGTGGTCAACCCTTCGTTTCGTTTGTTTCTCTTCTTTGATAATTATATTCCCTTCATTATCTTTCATTGGTTTCGGCTGCGTTGATCTCTTCCCTCCTTGATGGTTACCTTGTTATTGATATGATGTTGTCAGGTCTCTGTCTCTCCTATCTGCAGCCTGTTCTGTTTCACTTGCAAGTATCGTAGAAGTGTCTTTTGTCTTTCCGCGCACTCTTCTTCACTTCTTTGTCCAGTGCAGTGTTTTTTACAGGTTGTGTTCAGTTCATCTCCTCCTTGTTCATCCTTGCACCGGTTCATCTTCTGCTTCACCATCTTCCTCTCCCTCCTCTATCAGCTTCCATGAACCCGTCAAGATCCATTCTCTGTCTTGCCTCTCCCTCTTTCCAAATACAGTTATGCAGGTTTCTTTCCACATTGCTTTCAAAGAAGTTCAGTGTTCTTCCACTCAGGTTTCTTCAGGGATATCGATTAATATCTCCTGTTTCGTCTTGATGGCTGATGTGAAGATGTCGCCTGTAGTTTCGTCCTTCAGTTCAGTTTCTGTTCTGGGTGGTTGTTCAACCTGAACTGTAGTCTATCACCAGTCTCTGTGAAGTCTTTCAACTTGGTTTTGAAGGTTCCTTTCACTGGATAGTAAGTGGTGTGAACTTTCATCAGCTCACCCTCTTGATTTCATCTTGAGTCCAGTAGGCTGCGTCTCCACTTTCTATAGAGTGAAATGAAGTTGAACTGGTTTTTAGTGTATCCTGATGTGCGGTGAAATGCATGTCGCTGCCTTGTGAATATCCTTGTGTTTGTACACACTGCCTCACTCCAACCACCAAATCGTTGAATGCGCAGAAGTCACCAAAGAGTTCTCCATTCTCATTCTTCACTTCACCAAGTGCTTTTAGACCCATGATAAGTTCTCTTCTTGTGTTGTCTGCTCCCAGTTTGGCTGGTATTCATGTCACCCCACCCATTAGAATGTTGATGTCGCCATTGCCAACTGGTGTGGGGTCTTGTTCAGTACTGATTGCAGTTGTGTATAGAATTCCTCCTTCTCCTCTTCACCTCCAGTATTTGTAGGTACGAAGCGTGGTACTTTATGATTGTAACTTTGCTTCCTTTCGAGTTGAATCCACCTTGCTATCATGATCCTGATCCTACAGGAGGAGATTGGTTTCCACTGTATGAGAGAGAGCCTTCGATGCTCCTCAAGGGGACATCATGATAGCCACTGTGAAACTCAGTGTGTTCGTGGTTGTCGTCTGGGTGATAATATCGGAGTAGATAATTGACTCTCCAGTTGACAGTTTGGAGAGTCCACTTCCATTCCATCTGCAGATTCCCCACAGATTCCAAGTAATTCTATGCCATACCTTCTCATTTCTTTTGCAATCTGAGCAGCCTTGCTAGGTTTAAGCATGGTACGGACATTTCATGTCTCTGTGTTTACTTTCGCTTTCATCGAGGGGGATAAGACACATCGGCCAATTGGCTTCCCGAAGGCTTTCACCAGCTGGCGTCATTTCATCTCTTCGATTCCAGCGAGGAATAAGTTTATTTTTAAATCTTCTCTGTGTTTTGAAGTTTCTTTAGTGATTGGATTGGCATTACGGTGTAGGGTTGCTAGCCCTATGCCCAATCTTACCTCTTTATCAGGCCCTAGGACCGGCTAGTAACTAGTGAACTAGTTAACCAGGCGAGGTTCCTTTTCTGTTTATAGCGTTTGATATTGTTAAGACATTCATAGCTTCTGAAGTTTCTACAAACGGAAACCTGAGTGTTGCATTGAACATATTAACAAAGCAAAATGCATCATAACCAATCCTATTGATTTGAAAAATGAAATCTTCAGAATAAATCTTGTTTTAATGAAAAATGGATACTCTTGCACATCATTATTGATCAAACGAATCGAACAGCAAGTAGTACTATTAGTAATAATAATAATATTAAGGGTATAACTAAGTTGTGGGCATCATTTATAATAATACCATATTGCAAAGTTACTTCTGAACAGAATAAAAGAGTATACACGTCGTATGGTATTAATGTCTGTTTTAAACCTTCGAATTCACTAGAATAGATCGTAGTTAAAGTGAAAGATATATTGATTTTGGTGATTAGCAGAGGAACCTAGGACGCATGTTTCGTCCTACCTGGGACTCGTCAGCTGGTTGTACGTGCATTCCAGTCAGTGACGTTATCCTGACTGAGTCTGAGACCCAGCACTCATCGCTTCAATCGCCAAAGCGTAATTCACTGGGACATGAGAGCCATCTCTAGTGAAGCGAATATCATGTGTTGTTATGATACTTGTAATTTCGCGCGCGTCCTGGATTCCTCTGCTAGTCACCAAGATCAATATAACATTATGAATATCTGACGGTATTGAGGCATCTACGCAGGAGGCCGTCTTCCAAAGAGATCAAGCAGTCCGGCCCTCTATAGTAAGGGGGAATTACAACTGTCATAACACAAAGTGAATGATACAATTCCTAAGATGATGCAGAATAATTATGTCTACAAAATTAAATATTTGGGGAAAGTTGTTATGTACGAAACAACCACCAAGGAATCAAGATGAATTAAACAATTTAGAGGAGCCAACAGCAGTAGCTATGCATGCAATCGAAAGTGGACACATGATTGACTTTGGGAATGTAGATATATTATGAAAAGGTTTCTATTTCCATTAAGAGAGACTAACTTCCAAAGCTCTGAAAGTCTTAACAGTATCAAATGCTATAAATAGAAAAGAAGGAACAGACTTGTGACCTATTTAGCAAACATTAATCCGACAAGACCATTATAGATGACGCTTTCTAACTGAAGCTTCAATAACAATGACAGTTATTGATAGTTCATCAATAAAAATAAAAAAAGTGCATTCTATAACATGCATAAACTTGTAATGACTAATCTTAGTTACTCAGGCTGGACAGAAAAACCACCTAACCAATGACCTTCATTCACTAAACATTTGATGTATCATTTTGATGTTAGAAAAATCCGTATTTTCTGCTGAAGAAGCAGTGGTTTACACAACGAAACGTTCCGAAATATCTTGATTTTCTAAAGATGGGAATTATATTAAAATATATTCTTATAATGACAGTTTTCTTGTTATTTATATGTCAATAGTTGGAAATTTTAGGTAATATGATTAAAAGACGGTGTTGGTGTCGCATATGCACTCAAGTCTTTTCTACCTTGTAGATGTGACTTTCGGGTTATGTTATGCGGTGCCTTTAAAAACTAACTTACCAATCGCTGAAATAACCAATCCCGTGTCAGTATTTCGACTATGAATAAAGTTATTCATAAAATAGACAATCGTAGTTGGTTATCTTATTGCACTTTAATGTTGTTCCCCTTGTCATTTCTCTCTGAACATAATTATCCTCTTTTTTCGTTTGTTAATTTACTCTCTCAAGTTGATATGAAATCCAGCAGCTTGTAGTGACACGTAATCGCACTCTGTTCTACATTATTAATGTCCATCTGTGTTTACTGTCATAAACAGCCAAGTGTTTCTTTAATTATAATAATTGTTAGTTGTAAATGCCTTAGGCAGTCGAAACGTTAATAAAAGTACTGCCATGCTTTTTACTCAGTAGTTATGCTTTGAAGATATTTAACCATACCAATCGTCAATTGCAAAGTAATCTTTGGCATTATGTATGCTAATCTGTCAATTACATTTACCACGCCACCATAGAACAGTGAATCAATGTTGCCGTTCATATTAGTTCGCGTTTCTTGTCAGTAAACAGTAAAAAGAAATTCAAAACTCAAGTTTCGTAATTGTTCACACTTGTCAGCAAAGTATACTTATTTTTCAAGAAACTCATTCTACCTATGACAGTTAAATTGTATCTATCAGTATCCTGGTTACAGACGATACCAGTGATAAGTGTAAATTGGCCAAAAGGAAAAGTCAGTCTTACCAAGGTATGGGGGCCAAGTTGAAGACAAGTAGCAACAAGCCAATAACTTAGAACAACCAGTGAGAAACAACGGGTGTTGACGAATTACATCCACCGCAATGAAAAACAGCCACACACTCTCAGTTATCTTCTTTGAGCTGTTTAGTTTTTGAAGTTATAACTTGTAAACATCCATCTTTGATTGGACGGAATCAATCAGCTGCTATTGACATACGAGTTCCCGTGCAGGGTGCCTTAATATTGCCAGTATTTCCAGTTTTTAATATCGCAACTGTGATTAATTGTTCACAATTCGTAGATCCGGCTACTGAAATGTATAATAATTACATTGCAGGCTTTTGGGTCGTACTAAGACCTAAATGAATGTCACTCACCATCCGTATTGGAAAGTAGAAAAATCTTTATGTAGCATTTTGTAAAAATCTTCCTGTGTAGTTTTTATTTTATTCAATTTCTCACTTTTATTATTAATTCATTTATACAAACTTTTCGTCTAAGAGGTGCATTTTTTTGTCTTCTCTATGATTGGTGATCACGTTTTTATATATTGACTGATTGTTCTGGGTCATTTGACATGTTGTTAGTTCAAGGCTGATATTTCTTATTTTTGCCGAGTGCCAGCTAGCAATAAACCTAGGTCTTGGAGTTCCTACAACTGATCCGTAACTATTTGCTACGAAGATATTTTCATATTAGCCAGATGACAGCTTGTTTTTACTTTCTACGTAAGAAATATCATTCATCTGATTGCCAATGTTGACTCAGTCGTACACAAATTGTGTTTGACTATACACAAATGTGGATTGAATAAATATGTAAACTGTTTTCTAGTTGTGACATGAAAACCTACTACTACTAATATTACTACTCTGTTTGTAACTTATAGTAGTGGAAGTCACGATGTATACAACTCAAAGACAATATTCAGGATCTCATACAGCAACAGCGACTGATCTCTTTAGTCATATGAACTCAGGTATAGAAAAAGCGAAATCAGAACAATAACTTATACCTCTGGGTTTTTCACACACTCCAAGACACATTTATAACCTTTTGGAGTATGTTTTTAGCCTTCAAACCTTGATCTAACATATAACTACTTGTTAAGGAAGAATTATTGAATAGCTAAAGTCTTTTCTTATTTGAATAGGTCATACATGTATCATGATGCATACACCACGATTGTGATCCTCCTAGCTGGACGACCATATTGCTAACAAATCGATAGAATTCTGTCAGCACTAGATATTGTGAGATTGGCTGCTGTTCATTGGCCAGTCAGTGTATGCAATTCACTCCCGCAGGAAGTCAATTCCAACCCGATTCGCTCAGTGGTAACATCTCTGGCTACAACACTGAATGACGCAAATTCGAATCTCACAGGCGACATCAGTTCCCTCGAGGTTCCAAATACGCCTTGCTAGCGAGTGCCAAGAAGTACGAAACATAGGTTCAATACTTCCTGCTGATTGCTTTCATCCTTCAAAGTGCGCAGCGATGGTGAGCCTGCTATCTTGGTGGCCACATTGTAAAATGATCGCCAACAGAATTCTATCAGCTCTCAGGACTAGACCACATGAGATCGGTTTCTCTCCAGTGACCAACCAATATATACCTTAATGTGTTTATTCCTACTAAATGCAGTACATTTGACCTAGTAAATTGATATTTATAAAGTTGATTTTCGTTTATTTCAAACAACAGCTCTGTGTTACTCGCTCTTTAACTGTAGATATTATTCAAATAAATTTTCTGATTGGGAGAAACAATGCGCAATCAGCCTATTTCTACGTGTATATCGTCCTAATCTTTGGTCTGGTACACTTTACGATTTTGTTAAAGATCATTTAATCCCGAGGTATTTACTTCATCAAAATGAAAGTTGTAAAACAGTTCATCAACTGCACGATAAATTGACAATGTTTCATTCGGATACAGATCAAATTCTAGCTGTTGTTGCTGCTTCACTTTCTGGTTGTATATGGGATTTATGCAGTGATGCCTACTTGCATTGGTTGGATGCTTGGTCACGTTTACCGATTTATCGCTATCCATTTACCAATTGGTGCTCTCGGGATTTGTTACAATCCTTACCTAGAGGGATGGATATAGCACAAAAGCCTAGTCTGTATGCTGAACACTGTCTAGCATTACCTTCTAATGATATAAGGTGAGTAGTAGAGGTAGTTAATTATAATTTGAACCTTCGTTTTTGAAAGTGAATTGATATCAGTCAGTTTTGTGAATCTATAGGACAAACTACTTGTTAATCCTTGTGATTTCCCAATTGATATTTTATGGTATTGAATGAGCTGACCTCTCTTGCTTGTGTTTGTTAAGTGCATATGCAGAACTCCAGTGGGGTTATCGGCCTAACCCCACTCGGTCAGTATGGTGAATTCTTGAAATTCACCATTCAAGTTTCTGCAGATTCTATGACCAGTTCTTGCAGTCTTGCAGGTGTACGTATGGAATTGAGTCTTTGGGCAGAAAGTGTACCACTCCACTGGATCCCAGTAAACAGTCACTTATCCTCTGTTCAGCTGAACAGTACACTAAGAGCTAAAAAGAACAGTGGAACTCGTTTACATTTATTTGTCGTTTCCGCTTACCCACTGACTGCAACTCAGATGAAGTGAAGGATGGGTTCTACCGAAAAGTGTGAAACCCACTGTTGCAAACCAGTCGTTGGGAAGTGATTTTTGTTGCAGTTGACTTTATATGTATAAGTGGGTGGGGTAATTCAGACAGACTGGAACTTAGGTGGGACTTTTGGAATGCCGAGTTTAGGAACAGATGACGGTGGTTACCTGCTACAACTGTGGTGAGATAATCATCTATTTCTGGCGAGCACCAACTTCAGACCGGAAGAGAGACCTCGTCTAACGTGATTTGCACAAAAGTCATCTCAGTGGTGGACACACCAGTTATCTCTTAAGAGGGTCGGTAGAAGACAGCTGCTTCTTCTGAAGCATGTGTTAGAACAAGGATCATGCTTTTGTTCAAGTGTGTGTATTTCTGTGACTAAGTGGACGCAGGAAAACCACAGCAAAAAAAAATTGCAAGTGATGCTTGGCAATGAGATTACTAAGAGTACTTTCAGCAGTAAACTGACTACAGGTTAACGTGTCTCATCCTGAAAAGGTCCACTACGGTTTCTGGTCTAGTCTAAGAATGCCGTTGAAGGCTTTAGCTGGCTGTCAGTAAGTGGTTTGAAAGGTCAGTCGATCTCAGCAGCTTCTTCTGAATTAATGGATGTATGTGAATGCATTTCTGCTGACTCCGAGCACAATAAAGAACGGAAGCAACCCGAAAATAAACTGACAAGAAGTCTTTGCAGTGACAGTGGTGCATAGAGAAAGTTAAAGAGGTGGAAAAGTCAGTGGTGAGAGATAGACAGCTGTTCAAACTGATCGAATAAACTATTGCAAGAGTTCCGATGTATGTTATTCAGTCATATCCTGAATGGAACATGCTCGCGTGTCTCACAACTCTTGCTGAGTTTGAGTTGTTATTAATCTTAGGCTACAATGTGCACATAAGCTGGTACTGAAGATATTTAAGGATGGTTGTCGAGGGTTATTGTTTAGATTTAGGAAAGTGTTAACTGGTGTATGGCAATCAGATAAGATCCGCTTTGACTGCCTTCGTGTTTCCTTATTTATAGTGTTTATGTTGATGCAGTGTTACCACTTAACATAAAAGTTAAAAATAGAGTTTAAGAGAGAGAATCAGAAAGTCCATGACTGAAGTTTTGAACCTTCATCGACTAAATTGGCTGCGTTACGTAATAAATCTACCTAGTCACCGTCTCCTCTGTCTCACAATGTTATCTGGAGCTGATGTAAGCTGGATGAAGGTTACAGACTGGAAAAGCCGAAAATGATAACCGTCCATGAAATGCTTGACTATCAGTCTGAGCCATATAGGGCGATGTAGACTTCCATGTTGAGGTCAGCTTAACAAATAAAACCGATGGTTGGAAACTATGTAATATGCTTCAGAACCGAGCTCAGTCGTGCAGATGCAACCATAAATTATCTCCATCTAAATCGTCACACTGAATCTTATGATTGTCTCATTCCCGTTTCCTCTATCTCTGATTTCTGTCACTTTCAGCTGATTTCTTCCCTACTTGTTTTGCTTCCTATTGCTGCTTTCCACTTCGCGGTGTTGATATGATGTGTGAAAACTTATATCTTCACGTAGTAATGCCATGTGCCACGTTGTTGCTGACGTTCTGCTGGAACTTGCGTTCATAAACAAGGGTGCATTATTAGTATTCTCGAAAAACCCCCACAGAGACCCATAGAAAAATTAGAATAGGCAATTGGGAGAAGAGACTATTTTTGGCGATTTCATTCACTAGGTTGTGAAAGCGCATATCTTTAAAAATTTTTGGTGAGAATGGACAATTTATTTTGTTTTTCTGAAAGCAGTTTTGTAAAGCTTAGCAACACGCAAAATAATGCATATGAAAATCGGAGTATCATTCGTATCCTGAAATCTTCAAAATGTTTATGACTATAAAAAAGTAACCAAAAGGTGTAGTAACATGTAAAGCTAAGTTGTCATCATAAAAAATGCAGGGTTGCTAAGATTAGTGAGTATTGTTCAAGTTATCATAGAAATTAATTAAAGACGACAAAGTTTTAATAACGAAGTTGAGTTTGATGAGAAAACATTTAATCAACGAATTATTATCAAGATGAGTATAGTGACAAGCAATAGTAGATAATATGCAAGAAATGGATAGAATGAAAGAGTTAGAAGGCAGGGATGCTTTGAAGTGCTGAAGACCAACACCATGAAACGAGCAAAGGTTGAACAAGTTTCTTTTGTCTGCAAAGCTCCTACTTTTCTATCTGAATTGGTAAAACCTTGGCAATACAACGAATGGCACTTGAGGCAGTTTTAAGGCATGCGTTCAAGGGGTCCATATACTGAGAGTAACTATTCAATTTGATCCAGTATAATCATCAACTGGAAACGATAGGCATCAATGAAAAACAAATGATACCCGTTACACAAACTCAGATTATCACAGAAACCAACATAACTATAAATGAAGCGTGAATACTCTCAAAAGTGTGATTGCGTTCAGCACTATATAAGATACCGAACGAAATATACTTCAAGGTGTTATTTGCCTGGAGGCAATTGGGTGGAAACTCTGCAGAACGTAGGTTTTGTGTTTGTTCGCACTCACCATCAAGGCATATCTGCAACCTTGAGGGGACGAATGTCCTGCCCGAGAAAAGCAAGCAATCTCATGTACGCTGTGATGCTGAGCCTCTTATCTTGGTGGTCACATTGCAAAATGGTCGATGGAATACGGTCAGCACTCAGGACTAGACAACATGAAATTGGTTGTTCTCCAGTGACCATTCAGTGTACATGAAAGTTTAAAATAGTACTGTCTAGATTATAACATTAAAAAGAAAAAAAATTTTCAAGAGAGAGAATCTAGATTGCGACCATCAATATCAGATACGATTCTTATTAAGATTAATGTGATGCTAAAATTGTTTAGAATTCTTCCACCTGACAACATTACAGCTTAAAACAGCGTAATGAAAAGACGAAGAGTATCTGAAACATGTGATGTATTAGCGCCATACATTTCGAACAATCTGATCACACATGGACTTGTTCGAAATGTATGTCGCTAATACATCACATTTTTCAGATAATCTTCGTCTTCGCATTATGTTGTTTAAATTTATCAAAAGGACCAGTTGCTTTAAATTACAGCTTTAGTTTTATCCTTTGTAAGTTATATCAAAATAATAATTTTTTTCAGTAGAAATATGCATAAATTAGTTTCGACCTGCTCACTATATTTGCTTTATTTTCTTCGCTTGATGATAATCACGAAAGAGTTGATTGGTTCAATGAATTCTATAAACTATCATCTTACGTCCATTTGGATCGTTTCCCAAATCCACAAATCCGTTCCACTGAACTCGTAGTTCAACATCACCTTGGTGATCACATGACACATTCATATTCATCAAGTAAGTGCTATCTTTTTGTGGTATTTTACCTGCTTTGCATAATGAATACATGACCAGCAGCTTGCTACAGAGTACATAGTGACCGAGAATGTCAGATGTTGAAAAGTATGTACTCATCTACTCACAGTTGCGAACTAATAAAAGAGTTGCAGCCGATTCCTGTTAAAGAAGTCGGTGACCTGTGGTCAGTAGACCTAGTGGATCCATTTCCTCACAAGTCAAGTGTGTAAAATTCATCCGAGTAAATGCATCCGAGGAGTTGTGTGAATTCCACTTTTCTTGTAACAACAATTAGTGGTCCTATATTCAAAAGTAATTAATGCATAAGTTTTACACTTATATTCGAGGTGGTCTAAGATCAAACAACGTGCAAGCTACAGTTAATAAACTGAAAATGACAAGTTCAATATTGAGACAAGGAGTTCATATCCTGCTCGAGTCAGCTGGATATCAAGATAATACAAACCAGTCCTTACCACCCGCAAACTAATGACTTGACAGAAATAACCGTATCATGAAATGATAGTTGACCACAAAAAGAGGTGGTCAACACTTGTCGACTGGGTTGACAAACCTCCTCCATTCACATGTGCTGTCCCACTTCTTCAACATTAAGGGACTTTTGTGTGCCAAATTTCTTCTAGAGTGGCGCACCTCTCCGTAGACGAATTCAAAAGTCTGCTCTCCGTCAGGTCATTCATATTTGTGCCATAATTAGCGTGGATGCCTGTTCAACTTCAGCGCCGACTTACCAAAACTCTCGGTCTTCTAAACTTCTGCACCAGGTTCTCCAAGTAGCTAGATTATAGGTGCGCACGTAGCACTAAATTACATATATAACAATGGTAATGGAAACAGTTACATAAATACAGTGGCTCTCTATATATTCTTCTGGGAAGTTGTTGAATTAGTACTTATCTAATCCTTTTGTCGCATAAGATGCTAACTAGATAAGGTACGATTGAAGTTTTGAGTTTAGCCGTTCCAGCATGAAGCTTTTACAATGCCTTCTTCGGCTCTCTGATAACATGCAAAGAGAAAGTAACGACTACACTATACTTACTGTCTCATACATCAATTAACTCGGCCTTCGTGAACTTGAATGTCCATCACTCAGATTTAATACTATTATTATTTTTTCCTTTACGTCTCTTGCCAAACATAGCGATTCTCTTACATATCCCCATTCCACTCTCTTATCTCCAGTAGTTTAAACCTCACTCCACAATTGCCCACAAACACTCATGTCTTCCTCACACCATCTCCTCCATGTCACCCTCAACTCCGACAACCAACCCGTCGTTTCCCACTTAACAACCACTCGAGGGCCTGGTCTGCCACATGATGACCCCAATCGGTCTTCTCACTGCATGCCCAATTCAATCCATCTCCACTTTATTCTGCATATCTGTTGGACGATGGGTCCTTCACTGGTTCATTCCCAGTCAGCCATCCAGCCAACCAGAGTTCCTTGTTCCTTATTCTTATCACTCTGGTCATCTGATCATCACTATCGAGTGGGTGTAGGTGGCAACTGTTGATGAATGTCTGCAGTTTGTTCGAAATGCTTTTCGTAAAGCACCAAGTCTCTCAACCATCACATAGAAGCACTGACTCGACTGACATTAGTCTTGAAAATACGGATTTTGTTCACGCTTTATGCTGCTGAGTGCAGTGCAGTGCAGTGCAGTGGATTGTAGTGTAGTGTAGTGCAGTGGCGTGGAGTGGAGTGGAGTAGATCTCCACACTAATTTCACCTTAATCAAGGCCTGTCTTGCTGTATTTCCAATCCTGGCTGCTTTCACGTACTCATCTGTGCCTTCGTCGCCACCACCGCCATCACCTGTGGTTGAAACGATGCTGGCCTGCCTACGAAGGTATGTGAAAGAGACTACTTCCTTCAGATTTCTCCCATTCATAGTGATTGGTGCCTGTTGTTGTTGTTGTCGTCGTCGTCGTTGCTGTTGCTGTTGCTGGCTGGGTATCTTCATCACATCTGTCCACTCGACGTTCACCTGAAGGAAGTCCCGTCTTCCTTCGCTGCTTCGCCTCACCTCACCTCTCCTGTCAACTTCTTAGTTGTCACTTGTAGATCTTCGAGTCTCAACGACTAGACATTAGACACAAATCATCATCCTTGACCAAATCCAAATCTTCTTCTGAGGTCTTTTCATCCATCCGACAAGCATATGCCCCTCATCTCACTTCACTCCTCACAGTTGTCTCTTGCATCATCCAGTCCAGTCCAGTCCAGTCCAGTCCAATCCAATTGACCACAATCAGGAAGATCATCAGTCATAGTAGGCGGCAACCTCCTCCTACACCTGTCTCCTGTCTTCACTTCAAAGGCAACACTCAGCTTTCTATTGCTGTATGAATCACTTCACATTTAGCATCATGGTACATATAGATGCTGTTGAATGAGGTTGACAAAGCTTTGTGGCACTAGAACCGTAGTGTTCAAACAGTTTCCAAATCACTTCCTGCTCCACACTGTCGAAGGCCAACTCAAAGTCGATGAAGTTGAGGTAAGGTGAAGATTTGACTGACATTCTATGCTGTGTTCTATGATGATGTGTGGCGTAGTGTGGCGTTGCAATTCGTTCCGCACATGCTTTGCAATTCCTGAAGTCAGCCAGCCAGCCAGTCAGTCAGTCAGACTGTTTTGGTCGTCACTTTGAATCCAGAGCATTTCCTAGTCTCTCTCTCTCTTCTCTCTACGATGATGTGGTTTAATATTTTGGGTGCGGTGGACAGGAGTGGAGCATGATTCCTCATCAGTTCTTCCAAAGACTTAGGTCTCCCATCTCTGGGAGTTTGACAAGGTAGCCATTCTTCCAATCGGCAGGCAGGTACCTTTCCTTCCTTCATTGCTTCCTTGCTTCCTTGCCAACCTTCTGCAATAGTGGTGTGAGGATGTCCGCTGTGGTTGTCTCTGCTTCTGTTTTCATTGCTTCTGGAGGAATTCCATCTGATCCCGCTTGTCTCTCACATTTCAGTAACGTTTTGGCATTCATGAGTTCACTTTTGCTTATGTTGGAGTGTTTATGTTCATTAATAGTTCTGTGGCTGTGATGCTGGTGATATTTCTAGATGAGTTGCAGGTGATTTTGGTGGTCGATTCAAGGGTTTTCCGTAGTTTCCTTTGTTTCTGCTCTATGATTTTAACTAACATTACTTCACCAGCTTTTATGGGTTTCATCTCATCGCTTACATGAAGTACAAAAATCAGTAGATTGTAAAAGTGGTGGCTATGTTGTGCTGGACAGTTGCAGCTTCTATATGCAAGATGTTAAGCGAAAGCATTTTTTTGTAGTCATTAAGATATGGCATGACCTTCGAAGATCGGCAGAAGTACATAATACAAGATAGGTAACATTCGATATGCTTTCTTCAATATTACCATAGTCATGGAACGGAAACATCGCACACACTCGGAACTAAATACAGCAGTCTGATATTTGGAAATGCTTAGTTTGAGACCGATTGGGTAAAACATTTGGTGAATTCCATTTGAAAACTATCTGCTTGACGAATACTCGGTGTAGAAACTCTCAGTCCATCAACATGCCTAACGAAATTAATTGCTGCAGGACAGAGTAAGTAGTAAAAACAAAGAAAACTGATAGGAAGAAAGTACGGAACCTTGAAGCACCCAGGATTAAAAGGTTAATGAAGTGAAGTGCTTGCGTTAATAAACAGTATACTGTTTCTTTTCAGAAAGATATGAAAGCAACCACGTTGCGGTCTGGGGGGCACAATAAAGTGCAATGGCAAGCCTATTTAGAAAATGTGATCTACAAGTCAAACCCAGATGTGTAATCAATGGAGGCTTATTAAACATACTTAGTATCTTTGTTTAGGCTGAAAACAATACAGTGCAATACAACAGCAGTGGCAGTATTCAAGTTCACTTACTATGTTTATTATCGAATTGTTTTTTGGATCTCTAAAAACATAACGAGAAGTAGTTTCTCCATTATCTTCAAGAAAGATTTTTAGCAACAAGTCTAAATTTTATATTTGCTGCTGAAAATCACTTGGATACAGGTACATTTTTAATATTTTTGTAAGCGGCAGGTATTGTTTTCTTGAAAAATGATGCATTAAGTTACGTGATAATATGAAATATCTGCGTATTTTATAATGTTTAAAAAATCATCATTACTTAGGCTTTGGAACTTTTTCACGGACTTAAGACACTTGCATTAAAACCAGGAAAGCAACCATCAGTTTAACTATGGATACCAGGTAGGATAAACGATTGCTTTAAGTACGGACATCAGATTAAGCTTTTTCATTTATCTGTTTTCTATCAGTAAGCTTTTTGCAAAAGTTCTAGACGGTATCTGAAATAATTTGTTATATTGGCGTAGTTTAAAACTTAATCAACAAGTGTATGCTGGTTTCACGTTAGGAATCATCATAGACTGATATCAGTTGCAGAACCATTCGAAACATGGGAGCACTGGGAAGCCGTTTCTTTCTAGTAAGGGACTCCTCACTTGTGTCTGGCTATGATCCCGTCTGGGATGGAACTCAGGACAGTTAATCAATGACCAGATTGGATGGAGGTGATGCTATATCATGAACTGACAGAAGTATTTAATATGAACCACTGGTAACGTACTGGCCGTGGAACCTTAAGGTCCTGGGTTTGATCCCTGGCAGGATCATGGGTGGGGCACTGCTGAGGAGTTCCATACTAGGACGAGACAACTCTCCGGTACTCCCAGGTTTCTAATGGTTTTCCAACGGATGTCAGTCAATGATGAATACGAAGCTGAAATAAATAAATAAATTTTGTTTTAATCATTACAAGTTACCAATTTCAAGACATCATTACTTCACTTTTCCTCTAACATTTATATTACAGATCTGCAAGTGTGTAACCAAATATGCTCGAGTAATATGAAAAGTTCATCTGCGGTTGAGAAGAATTCAACTTCTAGCTTTACCTATCCTACAATTCCTATGGACTTGGGTCACACTATATGTGCTACACATTCATTTCCTAATTTCGCTGAAATATCAAGTTTTGATTGGAATATTGGACATTGTAGTGTATTATCCAAACCATGTAAAGATAATAATGAAAAAATTAGCTATTTAAATAAAACAGAAATAAGTAAGACCATAAAATTGAAGAGTGGGAAAAATCACTCCTTACCTAATAGTAAAAAGAAAAAACATGAAGAAAACCAAGAAAAGTCTGGTGACGATGATGTCGAAGAGGAGGAGGATGAAACGAGTACTGATAGGTAAGCTGTGTCATCGTTAGTTTACTGTTGACTCATATCCAAGCTTTCTGTTCACATTTCCCCTTTTAAGTACGAAATAATTACACTTTGTTCTACTTTTTGTAAATTATTCTGAAATGTTCTATGGCGTATCTTTTCCATCTTCGTGTTTCTTTTCGTAATTTGCTTTTTGACTATGATCATAACGTAGTACTAAACTGAAGCAATATGTTTATTCCCAGGAATGTCTACTTTCCAACCTTTAGAACAAATTCCTATCCATGAGATAGTGATATCACTTCAACAGTTGGATTACCACAGTAACTGATAAAATTGGTACGAGCTCATCCTCTTAAAATTCTACACATGATGCTCTCAATTTAATTTAAGACCTACGTATTCTATCATTCTTAATTCAGTGTCCATATTCACTCTTTCTGTTTCAGCTGACTAGGCGTTTGATTTACTGAGAACAAATTTTTTTTCTTGTTCAGATAGTAAAGTGGACGTGGCTGATGGCGATTATGACTCGTTTCAAGAGATAAACGAGATTTATGATCATTTAAAACTATATTCCAATGTTTTCTTATTCATTCACTGTATACATCTGATCCATAGAGAGTGTATTTTGAAATATTTTTCGTCTAATATGCATAGAATGACAAACAGAAAACATTAAACTAGCGAAAGTAAAGAGAGCATTTCATGATTGCACAGAAATATAGCTCTATTCTTAGCATAAACAAAACTAATATACGTAAGCATTTTGTACTTGGAAAACACTTTTAATAGCCTTCTTTTGTTCATTCTGCTTTTCTTCACTAGACGAAATATAGGATTCTAGCTGTTGAGATTAACAGAAGAGATCTAGGGATGGAAAACGGTAATAAAGTTACCGAGTGTATTAAGGACGCTGTAATAACAACGTTACTGAACTCTATAAAATACTTGAACTAAATACACTGCAGACTGTTCACTGAGCCACTAAATATGGAAAGATAAAGACTGACCTCTGACTGAAAGCGTGTGACTTTATTCACCAAGAATATATCACTTATGTACAGTAATCACAAGTATAAGAACACACTAAGTCAAGGGTAAAATAGATTATTCTAATTGGCTCAGTAAAATACGAAATTATCCAGTAGTATTTATCGTAACCACACACCTGTATAGATCAAAATTTGACGCTCAAAATTTCTACCTAATCGGCCAACGAATTAAAATGTTGATTTCTGATTTAACTGCTTCCCATCAGGTAGAAATACAAAACGTAAACCAGAAAGTTGTATGATTACCCTGATATTATCGTGCGCAAGAACTTTAGTTGATTCCGAATTCACTCAAGCGCTATCTGAATATCACTCTGAATGTTTTCTAACAAACTTTGCAAGACTTTGATGGTGGTCAAATCCTGTTTCATATCAGTCGCTTCATTAAGTCATTATGTGCATAAGGAAAATGTTATTGTATTCTTTGTAGTGAATCCTTGTGTCCTAATTCTGTCAAAGTAAGCTAGATGAATCAAAGAGAAGCTAAATGTGGTCGTATCAAAAATCTACCGTCGATATCATATGTTTTCTTTTTTTCGAAGTACTTCATGGTGAACAAAATTTACTCCAACAGTTTCTTTGTCTATCTGTTGACCTTGAGACTGAGTTGAATATAAGCTATGTACCTTAGTGTTACGAAGTAGTTGTTACAAAGAAATTAAGGTCATTTTCTATTGTTTTCAATTTCTGCACTAGTGATTGTGAAGAATCAATGGGTAATTATGTCGATATCTTTCCACCGGGTTTAAATATCTTTCATACACCATCTGACTCTGATCCAATACCAACAAAACTGAAATATTCTACTGATCAGTATTATGAAAATAAGGCATATTTTGTGAGTAATCCTCATCTAATGAATATTTCAAAACGTCAAAAACGAAAATCACAAACACCAGGTCAGCTGGTGAAATCGAAAGAAGATTCTGATGTTATTCACTCAAACACCATGACATTATCTCAGATCACTGTGAATACACCGGATAAGCAATTGTATGAAGGTATGTGAAAAGTATGATTCTTTTTCAAATCTATATTAATCAAACCATTTCAGTCTACATAGATCACTCACAAGATATGACTCAAAGTTATCAATACTGAGTCAAGCTTACAGATCAACAAAATCAGTTTGATCATTAGGATGGTATACTTGTCACCTCAGTTATTGAGCGACTATTAAAAAAACATTGATATGATTATGAGCAATAATTTATGCTCGAAACGTAATCAATTAAATAATACTGTATCACTGTGCGCTTTATATCAAATAAACAAATCTAATATTAACAAAAATGTTTGAATTGTGGATTTCCAGCTTGGTAGAAGTCATCAGAAGTGTATGTTCAACTTCTTGAAGAGATTATCACTTTCTATTAGAACCAAATCGTTTTCAATGAGATTATCACTGAGATATTCTCCCGAAGCAACTATTCTTGAAAACAATGATATACTTATTCACTGCAATAATAGTCACACTGATAACAGACAAACTGAATCTGTGCTGTGGCTCCTTTAATCTATAAATTCGGCCATCCATCTTCAGTCCGCTTGTTCTGTGAAAATCAGACACGATCCCCTGTGGCTAGTCCCAGTAGTTGATTGTCCTACTCTTCAAGAAAGGAAAGGTGCCAAGCACGTACATCACCTAGATGGGTGGTGTCTGTACGACAGCTAAAATCGGTAGTAGCCAACTCTAGATAATATGGCTGAGAAACAATCAACTTGATTCAAGTGCACCCACCTGTTATCACTATTCTAATCAACATATTAGATTTCGTTGTTTACCTTACCGGCTTTTCTCTTTTCATGGCATATAGTATCACTGTGTGCTGTGTACCGCAGCCAACATCGAATAACATGTTGATGCCGACTGATATAATGACTTTGTTTAATGTTTTCTTCATCAATAATTGAGGCGATAGCTCTTGTTCCCTGAAGAGAACATCAACATTAAACATGTTTTATAGAATATTCCTGCTGAAAACTCTTTACTCTCCTGCGATTTCCATGACCTTTATCACGCTGAAAAATTGCTGATAAAGGCTAAAAAAAAATTCCATTTAAGGCATAGATTACATTCCTGGCTTCATCCTATGACGAACGGTACCTGCCAATGGGAACAATGACTACCTTGTCAAACTCCCAGAGATGGGAGACCTAAGTCTTTGGAAGAACTGATGAGGAATCATGCTCCACTCCTGTCCACCGCACCCAAAATATTGAACCACATCATCGTAGAGAAAACAGCGAGAGAGAAAGAGAGACTAGGAAATGCTCTGGATTCAAAGTGATGACCAAAACAGTCTGACTGGCTGGCTGGCTGACTTCAGGAATTGCAAAGCATGTGCGGAACGAATTGCAACGCCACACTACGCTACACGTCATCATAGAACACAGCATAGAATGTCAGTCAAATCTTCACCTTACCTCAACTTCATCGACTTTGAGTTGGCCTTCGACAGTGTGGAGCGGGAAGTGATTTGGAAACTGTTTGAACACTACGGTTTTAGTGCCACAAAGCTTTATCAACCTCATTCAACAGCAGCTATATGTACCATGATGCTAAATGTGAAGTGATTCATACAGCAATAGAAAGCTGAGTGTTGCCTTTGAAGTGAAGACAGGAGACAGGGGTAGGAGGAGGTTGCCGCCTACTATGACTGATGATCTTCCTGATTGTGGTCGATTGGACTGGACTGGACTGGACTGGACTAAATGATGCAAGAGACAACTGTGAGGAGTGAAGTGAGATGAGGGGCATATGCTTGTCGGATGGATGAAAAGACCTCAGAAGAAGATTTGGATTTGGTCAAGGATGATGATTTGTGTCTAATGTCTAGTCGTTGAGACTCGAAGATCTACAAGTGACAACTAAGAAGTTGACAGGAGAGGTGAGGTGAGGCGAAGCAGCGAAGGAAGACGGGACTTCCTTCAGGTGAACGTCGAGTGGACAGATGTGATGAAGATACCCAGCCAGCAACAGCAACAGCAACGACGACGACGACAACAACAACAACAGGCACCAATCACTATGAATGGGAGAAATCTGAAGGAAGTAGTCTCTTTCACATACCTTCGTAGGCAGGCCAGCATCGTTTCAACCACAGGTGATGGCGGTGGTGGCGACGAAGGCACAGATGAGTACGTGAAAGCAGCCAGGATTGGAAATACAGCAAGACAGGCCTTGATTAAGGTGAAATTAGTGTGGAGATCTACTCCACTCCACTCCACGCCACTGCACTACACTACACTACAATCCACTGCACTGCACTGCACTGCACTCAGCAGCATAAAGCGTGAACAAAATCCGTATTTTCAAGACTAATGTCAGTCGAGTCAGTGCTTCTATGTGATGGTTGAGAGACTTGGTGCTTTACGAAAAGCATTTCGAACAAACTGCAGACATTCATCAACAGTTGCCACCTACACCCACTCGATAGTGATGATCAGATGACCAGAGTGATAAGAATAAGGAACAAGGAACTCTGGTTGGCTGGATGGCTGACTGGGAATGAACCAGTGAAGGACCCATCGTCCAACAAATATGCAGAATAAAGTGGAGATGGATTGAATTGGGCATGCAGTGAGAAGACCGATTGGGGTCATCATGTGGCAGGCCAGGCCCTCGAGTGGTTGTTAAGTGGGAAACGACGAGTTGGTTGTCGGAGTTGAGGGTGACATGGAGGAGATGGTGTGAGGAAGAGATGAGTGTTTGTGGGCAGTTGTTGAGTGAGGTTTAAACTACTGGAGATAAGAGAGTGAAATGGGGATGTGTTACTGAATCCCTACTTTGGACTAATAAGTTGAGGAGCAAAGAATAGGTATAATCGTGATTAAACGGATGTCTGTTTTATTATAGCGCACTTTTTTGATTTTAGTTAAACTAGAGGTGGTTGGTGTTTGTTTTTGTTGTTGTGATAAACTGATATTATCGTATTAGACGCTACTTTCGCATTACAGTGTAGGTTCCGCTTGAAACAGTTAATTATTTCCACGATTCAAATAAAACTTTGTTCCCGGTTCCTCGAGACGTAATTTACAATGTAATAAATGTAAACAACAACTAATCAATTCTTAACCGCAGCGTTGAGATATTGATTACCACCGAGATTGCTTGGTTGTTTATGTAATTTTCTGAAATAATTTCACAGTGTAACTGATAATCAAGCGAGTTTTAGTAATGGAGTATTAAGTTTTACTGGAAAATTCAAAAAGTACACGAAATAGCCTTTTGAATGGGAGCAGAAATTGAATTTATTCTTGGAGGGTAGTAATATTTCTGAAAACTAATAATTAGTCGGCAGATATGCGAATGGCTTCGCAGTATCCTGTACGATACGCGCTACACACTAGTTTACACCATGTTACAATTTGAGTCATTTTTTTCTAACTTTATATTCCAGAGCTATCTGAGCAGATGAGGAAGTTCTTGAATCACTCTAAGATAATAACTGATTGCAACCTATTGGGTATCATTTTCACATTTATTATTCTTATGAGAATAGAAACATGGTACATCAGGAGTACCAAGAAGTGCTCCACGCAAAGCAATATAACAACATTATGAAGACTTAAAGCGAAGGGAAGTGGATAATTAAGAAAGAAAAATGCAGTAAGAATAGAAAAACAGTTGAATAACATACATTAAAACAAAACATAGAAGGAAGCCCCTGTGTGACTGCCACTGGTTTCGATTCTAAGCCATATCTGATCTCGCCTCAAACCATTGAGTTGCGTGATCTCTCGGATCCCACCCAGGGAGTCGATTTGCATTAACACATGCTAATCCGATACAACTATCCTTCATTCAACGGCGCCACGCCATACACTGACCACCTACCTCCTTGCTTCTTCCATCCAGTCCCAGGGTTAGCAAACAATGAACGGTGTGGAAGCCGTTGGGATGACATGTGTAACACATGTTCAAGCCGCCGAAGCCAGTGTTTCCAGATAACTTCACTTCTTGAATGACGATCTCCATCATGCCCAAACACATGCTGTCGTGCCTCAAAATTACGTATGTGGTGTCGCCACAGGATGCAAGTAATCCTACGGAGACAACGATGATCAAACACACAGAGTCGTCGCACATCCTCAGCTCGGAGAGGTCAGGTGTCGTAGGTGTACTGCTCCCACCGATGAGTCGTTGGCCCGACCTTTCACGATCAGACTAACGTCGTGTTGATGCCAAAGGTGACCCAGATTGACGTATGCCACTCCACCAGCACTCACACAACAACCCAGATTTATAAGAAGCGCCTAATTCGAAATCAGCATTCTTAGTCATCAGCCGCTACGGTAGAGGTTTTGGGTTTCAACCTTTGTTTCATGTTACTGTGTAGGCACGAAAAATCTTATTCGACAGTTTTGTCGTACAGCTGACCAGTCAAACAAGTATCCAACGTCTGACCAAGTGGCTTTATTTTCTGAGGAAAAACTGTATATAAATGTTTTTTGTCAAATAAAGTTGTCTTCTTTGCAGTTACAGGCCGATCTTTGTCTTCTGATTTCCGCGGCTGAGTGAAGTATCAGGTATGAGGGAGAACCGTCTAGTTCAAGTATGTTATTGCTTTAGTAGCGTTCTCGTATGTTGTATTATTCTATTTGGTTATGTCACAGGTATACGACCTTCTCGGCTACTTCCATCGGCTCATCACCTAGAGTGAGCGCAGACATATGTTCCTGCCAATCTTACAAAGGTGATTTGCAGGATTAACATAGTATGTATTTGTGTACAATAGCAGTACGGCGTTAGGGTTAGGGGAGTTAATCCAACGTGTACTGGTTACTTGCAGTTTTATTTCTATCCTACACGTCTACTTAATGTGGATTTCGCTTCTTATTTCTGAATCTTTATTTTCTGTCCATAGAATATCTTCGTTCAGACTTCACTAAGCAACCACAACGACTCAAGGATTTTTATAAAAATAATTTTGCAGCACCTAATTCTTTATTATCAATGTCAGTAGATAAGAAATCCATGGAGATTTATATTGTAAGTTTTTTCACCTTTGTATCTCTTTGTGCATTATGTCTAAAGTCTGGTACACCTATTTTTTTGCATTATTACATGACTGAAAAGTAATTTTAGTCGCTTAAATTGCAAAACGCCACTTACTTTGAGATTGTTTCATCTGTTAGTCATCTTTTACAATCTGTGATTTCCATAGATCGTCCAATATTCCACGGAGGGGAAAAGTAGCTTTATCTAGTTTATTTCAATAATAAAATTTGTTCTCTTCCCACGTTCATGTGTTGCTACTAGCTGACGGTTGAGTTGTTGGTGGTAGTGTTATCTTCATATTTCGGTGCTTTACTCTAGGTCATTAGGATACCATATATGTTTTGTTTGACTGAGTGAGATAACATGAAACCTTCAGTATACTAGTCTATCTTTTATTGATGGCTAACATTCAAAGAAACGAATTAGTAAACACTTACAAATTAGTGAACAACATTTCAAACAACAATAATTAATAAGCTTGCATTTTGAGATGTTCTGATCACTAGAACGGATTCAGAAAAATAAAAACTGAAGTATGCAGGAAACCAACTCATACGAATCAAATCCTCAACTATGATACAAACAACACACAAAACCAGTTGTATAAAAACATCGCTCAAAAGAGCAAAGACACACTGTAGTACATCAACCTTAGAGGGACAAAAATTTAGTCAGTTTTCCATAAGAATGGCTATCCACGCAACCACATCAACAGATGTTTACATAACTCGTCATCAACAAAAAAGTCCACCTCGAAAACGTTACAAATGGATTGTCCTACCCTACCTGAACAAAGTCTCCGAGATCGCGATTAGATTATTGAAGGCTTTTAGAATCGCTGGATCTCATAAGTCCACAAAATCTGTTCAGTCTCTGTTATGCAGACCAATAGGATGCAATAACGATGGAATACGTATGGAGGCAATAAAAAGACTTTGGCAGAGACAACCAATCACACACGAGATCATCAGGTCAAAATACTAAGCCACTTGTGGAGAAAACCCTATAGCTATTTTCTTTCTGAAGTTTGTGCTGATAATGTTGCCTAGAATAACAATTAAGGCTTCAGAACTAAACCATCCAGCTCAGAGGACACAACAACAACGTAAGTTGAATTACCTGTTAGACATATGGTTAAGTAGTAGGAGCATGTGAAATATTTCATTTAAAAGTATGTCGCTTACTGCTATATGTAACAGTCTAAAGTAGTTAGGCAAACTATAGTTCCCGATGATCTGCCTTGTCGTGGACACAATGGGATTTACGTTGCCATTTTTTCTCCAACAGTATATCAACTTGAATTACGAAATCTATAGTTCCTACAATTTTGTCCAGGTATTTCGTTCATTTATAGACTTTGAAACTTTTGGTTATCGTGCCCTGTTAAAGCCCGAAGTATAGGTTCATCAGAAAATCATTACAAATATCAACAAGATACACAAACCGTAGGGAAAAATTTCCTTTTGAATTTCATCATATCATCCTTCTGTTAGCTGAAATTCTCAGATTAAAGCCTACTAGCTGATCGATAACGTTGAGCATATGAAATATGTAAACGGCAAAGTTGTATGGCATATGTCATTGAAAAAGGATTTTTTTTGAAAAGAGATCCCACTACGCCATGGCAACCGCGCGTCTGATTGAGGTCGTTTGAGAATGGAGGGGATCGTAATGTTTTCCATATTTGTTAATCAGTAAGTAGTAAACCACATATTCGAAGGTTTTATTCCCATGAAGAGAATTTTACTAATATGGTTTGTACATTACGTTTTTCCGGTGAATCGTAGCCAACAAGTGCTATTTATCTAAGAATTTAAAAAAATTCCCATCACGTGAATTAGAACAAGAAACATAAGTGAACAATATTCTTTTAAATAAGATCCTCCTTAGGCATTACTCCAAAACAAACACCTTGATATATACAAAATTAAAACAATTCTGTAGATTTGTCGGTTAATGTGATAAGTGTTTCAAAATAACGATGGCGATAAAAATACAAGCAATAATAATGACAAAATGATAACGCTGACTAAAGCACATGCAACAACCGCAAACTGAAGGGCGAAACTACAGGCGACATCTTCACATCAGCCATCAGGACAAAATGGGAGACACTAAGCAGCATACCTGAAGAAACCTGCGCCGAAGAACACTGGAACTCTTTGAAAGAGATGTGAAAGGAAACCGGCATAACCTTATTAGGAAGGAAGAAGAGACGGCAAGACAAGGAATGGATCTCGATGGAAACATGGATGCTAATAGAGGAGGGGGAGGGAAGAGGAAGATGATGAAGCAGAAGATGAACCAGTGGAGAGGAGTGTGGAGTGCGAGGATGCAGAGACAACAGCAGCGGACATCCTCACACCACTATTGCAGAAGGTTGGCAAGGAAGCAATGAAGGAAGGGAAGGTACCTGCCTGCCGATTGGAAGAATGGCTACCTTGTCAAACTCCCAGAGATGGGAGACCTAAGTCTTTGGAAGAACTGATGAGGAATCATGCTCCACTCCTGTCCACCGCACCCAAAATATTGAACCACATCATCGTAGAGAAAACAGCGAGAGAGAAAGAGAGACTAGGAAATGCTCTGGATTCAAAGTGATGACCAAAACAGTCTGACTGGCTGGCTGGCTGACTTCAGGAATTGCAAAGCATGTGCGGAACGAATTGCAACGCCACACTACGCCACACATCATCATAGAACACAGCATAGAATGTCAGTCAAATCTTCACCTTACCTCAACTTCATCGACTTTGAGTTGGCCTTCGACAGTGTGGAGCGGGAAGTGATTTGGAAACTGTTTGAACACTACGGTTTTAGTGCCACAAAGCTTTATCAACCTCATTCAACAGCAGCTATATGTACCATGATGCTAAATGTGAAGTGATTCATACAGCAATAGAAAGCTGAGTGTTGCCTTTGAAGTGAAGACAGGAGACAGGGGTAGGAGGAGGTTGCCGCCTACTATGACTGATGATCTTCCTGATTGTGGTCGATTGGACTGGACTGGACTGGACTGGACTAAATGATGCAAGAGACAACTGTGAGGAGTGAAGTGAGATGAGGGGCATATGCTTGTCGGATGGATGAAAAGACCTCAGAAGAAGATTTGGATTTGGTCAAGGATGATGATTTGTGTCTAATGTCTAGTCGTTGAGACTCGAAGATCTACAAGTGACAACTAAGAAGTTGACAGGAGAGGTGAGGTGAGGCGAAGCAGCGAAGGAAGACGGGACTTCCTTCAGGTGAACGTCGAGTGGACAGATGTGATGAAGATACCCAGCCAGCAACAGCAACAGCAACGACGACGACGACAACAACAACAACAGGCACCAATCACTATGAATGGGAGAAATCTGAAGGAAGTAGTCTCTTTCACATACCTTCGTAGGCAGGCCAGCATCGTTTCAACCACAGGTGATGGCGGTGGTGGCGACGAAGGCACAGATGAGTACGTGAAAGCAGCCAGGATTGGAAATACAGCAAGACAGGCCTTGATTAAGGTGAAATTAGTGTGGAGATCTACTCCACTCCACTCCACGCCACTGCACTACACTACACTACAATCCACTGCACTGCACTGCACTGCACTCAGCAGCATAAAGCGTGAACAAAATCCGTATTTTCAAGACTAATGTCAGTCGAGTCAGTGCTTCTATGTGATGGTTGAGAGACTTGGTGCTTTACGAAAGCATTTCGAACAAACTGCAGACATTCATCAACAGTTGCCACCTACACCCACTCGATAGTGATGATCAGATGACCAGAGTGATAAGAATAAGGAACAAGGAACTCTGGTTGGCTGGATGGCTGACTGGGAATGAACCAGTGAAGGACCGATCGTCCAACAAATATGCAGAATAAAGTGGAGATGGATTGAATTGGGCATACAGTGAGAAGACTGATGGGGGTTGTCACGTGGCAGACGAGGCCCTCGAGTGGTTGTTAAATGGGAAACGACGAGTTGGGTGTTGGAGTTGAGGGTGATATGGAGGAGATGGTGTGAGGAAGAGATGAGTGTTTGTGGGCAGTTGTTGAGTGAGGTTTAAACTACTGGAGATAAGAGAGTGAAATGGGGATGTGTTACTGAATCCCTATGTTGAACTACGACTGGCGATGGAAATGATGATATGGATCGTAATGAGTATGCGCATGTAATGTTTATGATAATGCTGATAGGAATCGAGAAAGCGGCATGAATTTTTGTCCCCTCTTTTAATCAAACTGGGTTAAAGTGTTAAGAAATAATTGTGATGTACTGCTGACGGAGGTGGTAAGCTGATTAAAAATGCCGTAGGTATATGAATGGAGTGATTTTCGCTTCAAATTTTGCAAATAGATTATCTGACCACTGATACTTATATTCCAGACTGGTGAGTAGAAATGTGGTAATTCGAGTAATTCGAGTCGACTGATTCGCTTTGATATTTGATTTTCCAGTTAGTTACATCGTGATTCGATGTTTTAGTCTGGTTGAAGTAGCAAACGAATTTTTTTAACGGTTGAGACTAAAAGTTATCTCGAAATGTTTTGGCTTTGTATGTGACAATATATATTCTCTGTGTTCTCTATGCGTATATTTTGAAATGAAAACTGCAATCATAATTCTGTTTTACTGCAAATTGAAGTTTCGGTCTTTTCGCTTTTGTTTGTGAGGATTATTCTTCATAAATAACTGTACTTGCTATCCATTTATGAAGTGGAATTCAGCCATTTACTTTGCACATCCATAAACGGCGTAAAACACAATTCAGTTGTAGACGGTAAAATATGCATACAGAACACAGAAAATACAAATTTTTGCACATAGATCCCTATAATTTATAACAAGGACGATTACATCCTCACCTGTCACAGGTGTTTGTGTATGCTAATTTGTTTAGATACTTATACTACTAATACGATTTAGTAGTAAATAATCTTTCATTTATTTCTCATTTTCAATCTAATTTTACACTTCAGAAATATGTGCAAATGAAGAATGTCGATCTTTCTAGTATACCTGTACACAGTATGAATATTTATAAAGCGACTGCATATCTTACCTCACAGTTATTATATTAATTAGGAGATAATATGATGAGGAAGAAGGGTTACTTATTTGTGAGACTTCATTCCTTATGTAATTAATATTATATCTATGTCTTTCTTTTCTTTGTTTCACTGATTTCTAATTATTTCCATTCTTAAAATACCTGAACATATCGTGTTTATTTTTGCTTATTTCTTTTTAGTGTACTATGTAACTCATTTTTATGCTCACACCATATGAAATGGAATTTTTTCACCTTCTTTTGTATGGTTAATAATATCAACAATCGTAATAATGTTTAGATTCTGAATGAATTATGAAACTAAGGGTAAATTATATAATGATAATGATAAGAGTACAAACAGAGATAATATTTACATTTATCCGGGTCACCGGGAAGGAAATTATTGTAAGTACATGTGGATTGAAGGCCTTGGGAGGGAAACAGAATGAACAAACATAACTTGAATATTAACCTGAAAACCTAATGTCAGATTCATACTCTTGAAAATGATTTTCGTAAGAAGATCGAAACATTGAAGAATAATGAAAATATTTGTTTATTCTGTTTTAATTGTTCTATTATACTGCGCTGGGATTACACAAGTAAAAATGTACCTTATACGGGGAATAATATGTAGTTACACCCTATCTTGGCATTAAAATGACATAAAGATTACCAGGGTAGGTTTAAGGTGAGGACGAACTGTTTTTGAATACACAAAGGGGGTTCAACTTTCGTATAGTTAAGGCTTCAATAAACCTAAGTATACGGTCCTGACGGCTTTTATGCAATAATCTGAAGGCTGTTTTGCAGTCAATCCTATGACCTGTTTCTGTATTGTGTTTATCTATTGAGGATGACATCTGTCTTCCCCCTATATTTGTCGGATAGTTTAAGTATAATCGTCTTTCTAGCCGTTTAAGGATATACTTCACCACCGCTGACTTCACATAGTTTGATTACTCCTCCCATTGTAACAGTATTTTTTACTGGATTACGTTTCAGACACAATTTATTGTCCGTAGTCAGATCAAACAGGATAACTTCACAACTTTGAAATATTCTTTATATAGTCCTAATTTCCTCGTCTCTTTGTGAGATGGGTAGTAAGATTTTCTATATATCTGGAACACGTGCTGAGTCATTCCTGTTGCATATATTTGGAGCTGATTCGATAAACAAAGATTCAGTTATCAATCTCTCCCTCCACCCTGCTATATTAGTTATAAGGATTTTCACCCTGTCCCATCGTATTGTGTGGTTGTGTGCAGTCGCATGCATAGCTATGGCTGGGCTTTTTTCAAAAATTCCTCACCTTACTAGGATCTACCATTTTTGACCTAACTAGGGTTTTGTGCTGGATAGCCTAATCGACCCTGGTCGACTACTTTGACCTCGCAATCGTTGTAAGTTATTTGGTAGACTAAGTTATTCTGCTTAATTGGATCACTGGGACCTTTTAACACATAATGCTTATTTCTAAGTGAGTTTGCGGGTTTAAGTGCCTCTCTAATCCCAGCCTTATTAGGAAAACTACGTAGTGTTTCTGAAGTATTTTCTATGCAGGAAAAATATCCGTTGGAAAATAATGAGATTACAAATGAAACATCGATCGAACAAAGTGGGTAGCCAATCTCTTCTCGAAAGCCTTAAACTCAGTTGATACGAAAGTACTTGGAAAAAGATTGAACTTCAGTGTAACAATAGGTCATCTAAAACGCGAAGTTGTCATACCTAGCATAGAAGTGGCATTAAGTTCGGTGGATGCAGAAACAGCTGAATAGATTAGAGCACAGTGTTTTATAGTTCTGAAAAAACAAAGGAAGATAGTGAAACTAGAAAATTCATTTTTAAACAGTCTAAGAAATGACGATAGCATAGTAATTGCTGAATGTGATTAGGGTAATTGAGCAGTACATTTAGCATAATTGGATAATCTCAACAAAATTGACAAACATACTCAAACAGGACCTTACGAAGAGATCAAGAAGCTTATAGACACTGTCATGGATAAAATTGAGGGATGTACAGCCGATCTGATACACCAGCTGAAACCATCTCTAGGTGAGTCTAAATAGTTTAATTTAATAACCAAAATTAATAATCCTATCAGAATTTACTATTAAGGTTCATAAACCAGGCTATCTCATTAGGCCGATAGTTGGCTTCCAAAATACTCCAACATATGAACTAGCAAATTACTCAGCATCAATATTATGACCTATTCTAGACTAGTCAATTCTTATTTAGTAAAGCTAGGACCCAATGACCTACATATAGAAGAGGATGAAAAAATGGTTAGCTTCGATGTAAGAAGTTCACATAGTAAAATACCAATCACTACAACAGTGGAGGCAGTCAGAAATCAACTAGATATTGACTCAGAACTTACTCGTAGAACTAAGATATCGGTTGGTGAAATCATATTAGGCGTACAGTTTCCAAGTTTCAGGACAAAATGTATACACACACAAAAGGAGTAGCAATGGGATCGCCAATATCCCCTATAGTAGCAGATATATATTCATGGATAGTTGTAAAGACATGGCTTTACGAACGTATAATCCTACATCTAAGATATGGTGGTGGTATGTGGACGACACATTATTATTATTGTCATTATTATTTGTGCCTTGGGTTCCTAATGGAACCTAGGGCTTCAGTAGCACGTCTGCATTCCTCTCTGATGTCTGAAATCTTTTGAACCTGGCTCCACGACAGCACAGAAGCTCTCATTTCCTCCTCCCACGATCTCCTCCATGTCACTCTGCCTCGGACACACAACTCGTCGCTTCCCATCGGGTTTCCACTCGAGCAACTGGCCTGATGCTTGATGTCCCCAGTCGGCCCTCTCAGTGTATGCCCAGTCCATCTCCACTTCCTTCCGCATATTTGTTGAGTGATAGGTTCTTGGTTGGTTCGTTGCCAGCCAGCCAGAGTTCCTTGTTGCTTATTCTTATTATTCTGGCTATCTGATCTTGGGTATCGAGTGAGCGTAGGCAGTTGTTGATGAATGTCTGTAGTTTGTTGGAAATCCCTTTCGTAACGTGCCAAGTTTCTGAACCATTTAGGAGTATTGACTTGACGTTGGCTTTGGAAATCCAAATCTTGTTCCACATGCTGAGTGGAGTGCAGGAGATCTCCACACTGGTTTCAGGTTAATGAACGCCTGTCTTGCTATCTTTCCGATCTTGGCTAGCTTTGACGTCCTCGTCTGTGCCACCACCACCTGTAGTTGAAACAGTGCTGCCTCGATAGGTGAAGGAGGCTATTTCCTTTAAGTTTATCCCGTTCATTGTGATTGGAGTTTGTTGTTGTTGTTGTTGGTGGTGGTGTTGGTTGGGTATCTTCATCACCTCTGTCTTCTCTATATTCACTTGAAGTCCCGTCTTCGATGCCCTGCCTCACCTCTTCTGTCAACTTGTTAGTTTTCGCCTGTAGATCTTCAAGTTTGTGTGACATTGGACACAAGTCATTGGCGAAATCCAAATCTTCTAGGTTCTTTTCCGCTGTCCAGCATATCCCCTCTTCTCGCTCCTCACAGTTTTTTGCATGATCCAGTCGACCACAATCAGGAATATCATGGGTGATAGTAGACAGCCTTGTTTCACTCCTGTCTTCACTTCAAGTGCAGAGGCATCACTGAGCTTGCCATTGTGAATTATTTGGCATGTGGCGTCTTCATATAGTTGTTGAATGAGGTTGATAAGTGTTTTTGGTATTCCGTAGTATTGAAGCAGCTTCCAAATTACCTCTCGGTCGACGCTGTCAAAGGCCTTCTCAAAGTCGATGAAGTTGAGGTGTAGAGTTGACTGCCATTCTTACTCTGTTCTGTGATGATGCGTAGTGTAGCGTTGCAATTTGGTCCACACATGATTTGTAATTCCTGAAGGCAGCCGGCCTGCCTGTTTTGGTCGTAGTTTTGAATCCAGTGCATCGTTTAGTCTCTCCAGAATGATGCGGCTTGACATCTTGCTTGCTCTGGGTGGACAGGAGTGGAGCGTTATTCCGCGCCAGTTCTTGCAAACACTGAGGTCTCCCTTCTTCGGCAGTTTGACAAGATAGCCCTTCTTCCCATGAATTGACAGGTACCTTCCCTTCCTTCCAGACCTTCTGCAATAGTGGTGTGAGTGTGTCCACTGTTGTCTCAGCGTCTGCTCTCAGTGCTTCTGGTGGGATTCCATCTGGTCCTGCTGCTTTCCCACATTTCAGTAGCTTTATGGTGCTCAGGACTTCCACTGTTGTTGTAGGGCCTGTGTTCACTAGTAGTTCTGTGGTTGCGGTGGTATTTCTGGACGAGCTGCAGGTGATGGTGGTGGTCGATTCAAGAGCTTCTTGAAGTGGTCGGCCCACTGTTTCCTTTGTTTCTCTTCTTTCGTAATTAAATTTCCTTCATCATCTTTCATTGCTTTCATCTGCGTTGATCTCTTCACAGACAGCAAGTAACCTGGTTATTTCATCGATATGTTTAGGTCTCTTCTACCTGCAGCCTGTTCTGCTTCACTTGCCAGTGTTTCGTAGAAGTGTCTTTTGTCTTTCCACTCACTCTTCTTCACTCCTTTGTCCAGTGTAGTGTTTTATACATTGTACTCAGTTCCTCTTCTCGTTGAGCATCCTTGCACTGGTTTATCTTCTGCTTCACCATCCTCCTCTCCCTGCTCTATCAGCTTCCAGGTATCCATCGAGATCCATTCCTTATCTTCTTTCTTATTCCTTCCTAATACGGTTGTAAAGGTTTCTTCCCACACAGCTTTCAAAGACTTCCAGTGTTCTTCCACACAGGTTTCTTCAGGGATGTTCCTCGATATCTCCAATTTTGTCTTGATGGCTGACTGCCGTGAAGATGTCCCTTGTAGTTTCGTCCTTCAGTTCAGTTTCTGTTCTGGGTGTTGTACTTGAACTGTGGTCTATCACCAGCTTCCTTGAAGGCTTTCAACTTGATTTGTAAGGTTCCTTGCACTAGATTGTGAGTGGTCTGGGCCTACATCTGCTCCTCTTCTTGACCTTGCGTCAAGTAGACTGCGTCTC